CTCCATTTGTGTGAAAAGTGCCCCCCCCCCCGTCAGATTAAGGAGGAAAGGGTAGGTGGGTGGGTGGAGTGCGCGCGCACCCACACCAATGAATATGCACAGCTCCCAAGAATGCATCCCGTTCTGTTTTGATTTCCCTTCCCTGGGCTCATTCTGCATTCGCTGCTCTGCCTGTGTAGGAAGGCAACTTCCTAATGCTCTAAGATGCGGTTGCCCTTTCTTCCTCCTCCTTCTCCTCCTCCTTCTCCTCCTCCTCGTATGCCTCTCCCCCTTGTCCTCCTCCACACACACCCCGCCACCATCACCGCTCAGCAACGCATATAAGGCAACCTTTGCTGCGAATTCCTCTTACCAGCCATTCTAACTTCCAAGCAAACGCCAACTTGCCTGTCTCCTCTCCTAAGACCAGCCTGCTTTCTGCGCCTTCCCTGGAGGAAGACCCCCGTCTCTCCAGCTCCTGCTGGAAACGGGGGTTAGCGAGGAATGAGGAAGAGGAAAAGTTGGTTGTTGCCCTTTATTTGGTGGCCAAGGAAGCCCAGGGGCAGTTCTCACCTCCCGCCCTGCCTCAGGTCCAAACGATCGATTTATTTCTCGATATTGCAAAGAAACTCTAGGGATATATATACATATTCTCCTGCAAGGTCACATGGAGATGTAGGCAAACATGCATTGGAGGGGCGGGGGTGCGCTTTTAAAGGGAGCCTGAAATTCTAAGGCAAAGGCCTCCACATCAGAGGCTTTTATAATATCTTTCCAAGGAGGAGAAAAATCGGTCTTGCCTGTTTGATCAAACTTGCTTTGAAATCCTGATTGCAAAATAATATTGAGCAGGGAAGAGCAAAGTCTTAGCTCAAACGGACAGACCGGCGCAAAAAAAAAAGAACCAAAACTATTCACAACCAGGGTATTTTAAAGTGTTTGTTGTATGGTTAATACATCCAAATCGAGATGTTCCTAAATCTTTGGATTGCTTCGGTTTTAGATCCGTGGGGGAGGGGGGCTCGTCTAAAATTGCCGAAATTAAACTCGTATGTTCCAAATGTACATGATCAGGTTTAATATTCTCTAACGTCCTGGTCGCCCTATCTCTGCGTTTATCAATGAATCGGTAGAGGTTCTGTAAATCTCTACACGTCCCTCTTCGGGGTGGGAAAGCATCTTCCCTCATCTCTCATTACAAATAATTAATACTCCTAAAGGGTAGGTTGGTTGGTGTATTTTCCCCCACTTTTATTGAGCCTAGTCTTAAGGAACCTATTCATGCACAAATCTGTGTGTATCTGCATATAGCAGCATATATTTCTACTAGTGTATCTATTTTAATAATAGCAGACATGTAATCAAATCAATACCTATAGCTATCTATTTTGCAATGCATGCTCGTCATGATCAAAAAGTCCACGTTAACATTGACTCACTTTCTTATATGCATATACGGATGTGGGGCTGTATATTTATATATTTATATTTATCATGGGTGCGTGCGACTGTGTGTGCCAATATAGAGTTGTGTGTGCATCAGGGGTTTGTAATTATATGCATAATATATGTGTGTTCAATATGTCTATGTGTTCTATATAAACTGTGTAGATGGGAATGATTTTCCTATCCGGCTGAGGTTTACTTCTCCAGCCTATTGTTTCAGACAACAGATATAAGTTGCGATGGGAGAGGAACGTCGGGTTTGGTGTCTGTCCCCCATTTCCAATTATAGATGGATCATTACAGACAGAGAAGTACTGAGAATCCAGACATCTGCTCTTCACATGAATGCACTCACCTCCTAGAGAACAGCCCGCCATCATGCTCTGGAAACTGGTCGAAAATGTCAAGTATGAAGATATCTACGAGGTAAGTATAGAGATAAGAAGCATGTTTTTGGTGAAAAGAAGGAACCTTAGATTTAGAGAAGCGGGGAAGTGCCCGCTTATACGTTTGGATTTATTTCTGAGAGAGATTCTGATGCAGGCGGGCGCCCAGACGCAGACACATGAGCCGCGTTCAGGGGCGAAAGGACTGGGAGAGGCTGGTTTTACGCCCTGTTTGTTGTCAAAGGGAGCTGCCTATTTTCAAAAGAAGAAGCCGAAAAAGAAGCCGAAGAAGAAGCCGAAGAAGAAGTAGACGAGATTTAGACATCAAAGCACGGAATGATCTGGGGGATGACAGAAAGCTACTTAAACGCTGCAGTTTGTTTAGATCTGGAAGTCGGTGTAATTCGATTAGATGAAGCCTAATGCCGTTCATTACATATATAATAGGATAGGCTTTCATTTTCTTCTTTAGTTTTCATCCCATCTTTTCCGTCCCTCAGTGGGGAGACCACCTAAACTGGCCCCTTCTGTAGGACTCTGCACAAGCCCAGATGCAGAAAGACTCTGGAGAAGAGCAGTGGTGGTGCTGGTGGAAGGGGTTCGCTCAGCTTTGGGGTTTTGTTTTTTTCCTCTCGTGAGAACGGTTCACGAGGAAAAAAATATTTCTTTCATTCTCTTTCTCTCTTTCTCTCTGTCTCTGTCTCTCCCTCCCTCTTGCGTCTAGAAACATCGGGGATCCCCTCAGCTTCTCTTAAAATCGATGCTTGGCTCTCTTTTCTAGTTATTGCTTTCCATGGGAGGTGGACTGCCCTCTTTCCGAAATATCCGGGCTCCCTCCTAGCTGAGTTCCAGAGCAGGTTAAGGGAGAATTTAGCGGCGCGCTGGTCTCTTTTCCCCCCTGCCAGTGGAAGGAGACGAGGGAGAGAACACCGCCTTTCCCTTTCCGCCGTGGAAGTTTGGGCTGCAAGCGGGGGTTGTGGAGCAGCGTGTGCCCCCTTTCCCGACCCGGGCAGGGTTACTGGAGTGTGGGCCAGGAGGGCGGGCGAGCAGAGCCGCCGGCCGGTCTGCGGAGTTTCCAACTCGATTAAGAAAGCCAAGAGCCGCGTTTTGCCGGCGATGAGTTAATATTTAAAAGTGCAGCCGTCTGCGGAGGAGAAGGGTGGAGGGGAGACGCCAGGGCAGGCGAGGCGGGGGGCTCCTGCCAGATAGGGCGCCGGGGGGATCCCGGTGGGTAGCCTGCGTCCGACGACGAGCAACGTATCCGGGGCTGTGTAAAGCTCCTGTCGGGGTAATTATCTACTGAGCGCCGGCAAAATCAAGCCCGGCATGGGGATTTGCAGCGCCCTCCTCCTCGGGTCCCATTTCTCCCTTCCAGCTCACAGAGCTCGGACCTCTCTTGCGCGCCCTACTCTCCCCTTCTCCCGAAACGCATTTCCAGTCATTCCCTTCAGGGCGAGTTCAGGGCACCCGGGGGGGGACCGAGACCTGCCTCGGAATATGGCCCCTCTCGAGTGAAAAGGCAGCAGGGTCTCCTCTGTGAAATGGTAACGCTGAGCCTAAGTTGTGGCTCACAAAGGGGGTCCTCGGCTTCTTACTGCGCTTTGACCGCTGGACTCCGAGCAGAAATTCACGCCTTGGGAAATTCGTGGCTAGGAATCGAAATCCCAGGATTTGTCTCCGAATCCTGCGGGAAATATGCGATAGACCCGCTCCCAAGGCAGCTATATAGATCTGCGTGGATTTAGACATATATATATATATCCTTTTCTTTCTTAAAATAAAAATAAAAAGCCTAAAAGGTGAAGGAACACACGTTCACCCATTAGATCGGATCGCTTTTGATAACTGTAAACATATATATATATATATTTAAAAAAGCGACCTTTTCCCCCTCAAAGAGACGCCGCTGCGGAGAAGGCAGGGAGCGCAGCGCGGCGCGGCCAAGTGAGAGTGGATTTAGGCAGGAACGTTAAGTTGAACTTTAACTGAAATGGCAGTCAGGCCAGTCGAACGGGTTCTGGGAACATCAAAAAGGTTCTTAATCGCCTCTGGCTTCGCCTAAGAACTATAAATCTAGTATCCTTGCAAATTCATTGCGTAGATTTTACATCTAGGTGGAAATAGAACGCTTTTTTGGCACAGCCAGAGGAAAGCTGTCTATACGTTTGAGATGTGTGCGTGTGTGTGTCACACACACAAATAATGACAGGCTAAATAGAAGCCAAGTGCTCTGCACCCTCTCTGTATAGCTTTTCAAAACGAGGGCAGTCTGTAATAACTGGTAGTATTTTAAGTGCTTTAATTACTTCTGTAAACAAACAAATCTCACTGGCTGACTTAAAAAAAACACGGCAGGATTAGAGAAGCCCTTTTATTATTTGCTTTAAAAATTAGAACAAAAGCACCAAGGGCAATCGATTTTCTTTCGTATTTGGAATGTATAATTAAATGTAAAAGAAGGAAATATGATTTCCCCCTCCCCTCTTTAGCCCCTGGCGCGGCTCCAGATCACTTCCTAGCTCCAAATCAGCAGTGCCTCGTTTACACGTCTTCCTCTGCTCGAGTTAATTGAAGTTCTGCCTCTTCCTCGCTCAACTTTTTTTTTTTGTCCCTTCCCTCTCCCCCAACTCTGCCTCCGCCAGCCCCCTCGTCTGATTACATCTAGTAATTCTCCACTGAATGAACGTCATTTACAATACTAGGGGAGCTCTCGAGCTGCCTGCAAAGCCTTCACGCTCCATTTGGTCCTGCATTCTCCCTTTAAAGTAGTCGTGTAATATTAATAGTCATGAATATCAATTATTATGAGGCGTTGTAGGGAAGGAAAAGGAGAAAGGGGCGCCGGAGCAGTCTGAACCTCGCCCTGGGTTGAAGAGGATTGCATTTGGAAGCTCAAAGGGCCGGGAGGGGGGACAAGAGAGCGGAGCCTTTTAAATACATACACACACGCACCCACACACACGCACGCACACACACACACACACACACACACACACAGCTTTTGGGGCACTGGCTTTTTTTCCTTCTTCGAATTTTTGTTTTGATGGATAGACTCGGAAATACCTCCAGCGGCTCTCCTGGGTGCTCCGCGTTCCCTTGCAGATCTCCTTGATACGTCCCCTCCCGTTGATACTGTTATTCTATCGCTATTTTATTTTTAGCTGTTTCCAGACTTTTTTCCCCCTCCAGATGTTAGTCCACACCTATTCCGCCATGGTGAGTTGGCTCTGTGTTGTGATTTAAAATTGCCCTGTTCTCTCTCCCTCTCCCTCTCTCTCTCAGTCCCTCTCTCCCCCTCTCTCTTTCTTCCTTTCTCTCTTTGAACGCCTTTGGCTTGGTAATTTAGCACAATAATTGGAGGAAGCTCGCAGCTGCTTCTTCGGTTTTGCATTGTGTTCTCGGTCTGAGCTAGGGGGGTGAGGAGGGGGGCAGAGTGAGGGGAAACTTTTTATAAAAAAAAAATTGCTGTCGGGGATTTGAACGACTTTTTTCTGGAATAGATTTTGTGCGTGTATGTGTGTGTGTGTAAAATCACAGCTTCACTTCGAATATAGAATCCAGGATTCAGAAGAATATTGATTTGGATTGTGACTCTTTTTTTTTTTTTAATGTAAATAGTGTTTTGTTTTTTACAAAAACTTTTATTCATTATAACGCCCAAAACATTTTTGTTAATTTTCTTTTTACAGGCGTGAATCAAATATTAGAAAAATATTAATAAATTATGTTCTGAAGGCCCCCGCTTCACTGGCTTAATCCTAACTTTTTTCCTCCGATTTTGAGATCGATTTTAATAGGAGAAATGTTGTTTCATATTATTTTCCATACAATCTTCCAGAACGAACCTAGAATCGTATCTTTCCAGTTCTGCCACGGACAAACGAGTGGGCGGCTTGTTCATTTGTTTTCATCAAAAGCTCTTCCTAAAGCGATACAGTGTTGAATAAATGTATATTTGTTCGTGCTCTTGCGAGATTATTCGTGGGGAAGAACCATGGAATGGGTGGAGAAATTCACCCCAGTCCTTCGTGGTAGAGCTAAGGGGTTTTTAATTCCTCCACTCTCTTTTAAAACCAGACTTTTTATTTCATTTATTTTTGCCATTGTCGCTTGCAGTCAAGAAGTTCATGGGAAGTTTGGGAACTTAAGAAAAGGAGACAGGAGTTATTCTTCCGTTTTCCTAATTTGTTGATTTATCATTCTGCTTTCAATTATACACAAACCATACCAGAAGCTTTAAGAAACGCCGGGCAGCCTCTTCGCCGCTGAAAACAAGCGGTGCCGAGGGGTGATTAATCTGAACAGGAGCCGTTTTGATAGGCACCTTTTAAACTGTATTTTTTGAGAATAATAAATTGGGTGTTAAAATCCCTTTCCCAATTTCTCTCTCTCTCTCTCTCCTCTCTCTTTTCTCCTTCCTCTCCCCTCCCTCCGGTTGTCCACCTTCCAGGACCGCCACGATGGCGTGCCCAGTCACAGCTCTCGGCTGTCCCAGCTGGGCTCGGTCTCGCAGGGACCCTACTCGAGCGCCCCTCCGCTGTCTCACACCCCGTCCTCGGACTTCCAGCCGCCCTACTTCCCACCGCCCTACCAGCCGCTTCCCTATCACCAGAGCCAGGACCCTTACTCCCATGTCAATGACCCCTACTCCCTGAACCCTCTGCACCAGCCCCAGCAGCACCCTTGGGGGCAGAGACAGAGGCAGGAGGTGGGCTCGGAGACCGGCTCGCTGCTGCCCCAGCCGCGGGCGTCGCTGCCTCAGCTCTCGGGACTGGACCCCAGGCGGGACTACCACTCGGTCAGGCGGCCAGACGTCCTGCTCCACTCGGCTCACCACGGCCTGGACTCCGGCATGGGCGACGCGCTTTCTCTCCACGGCATCGGGCACCCGGGGATGGAGGACGTCCAGGTAATGCACTCGGGAAGGAGCACGCAGCTCCCACGCACACAGGCGGGGGGCGCGGGCGGGGGGCGCGCGCGGATGCCTTCCAGCGCTGGAAGTTTTGCTGTGCTATAGAACCTTTCCCAGGATCATTGCGAATGTGATCGACCTCCGCTCAAGGTCTGTTTTGGAATAGTGCGCCCCCCCCAACCCCAGGAGGCTTGCATGTTTAGCAATCTCTGGGGCTTTTGTTTTCTGGAAGACGGAACACACCCAGAGTTTATTCCACTCCTTTCTATCTCTGGTAATACGTTCCCGGCTGCTTCAAAGGACTTGAAACAAACTCTGTCTTGCAACTTCCCTCAGTGTTGCTTGGAAGTCAATGAGTTGTGAGCTGCAGCCATCAATGATCAGCTGAAGGTTGCAGCCCCAAGCTGCCAGAGGCAGCGAGAGACAGACTTCTCTGGGATGAAAGTCCCACCGAAATCAATGGAATTTATTTCCGTGTAGACCGCAAGGGGGGCAGCTGGGGGAGCCCCAAGAACTTCGATGGAAGTCGTGTGAGTTCCCAGGATACGCACCCCGCCCTCCTCGTTGCAAAAGTTGAAGAAAATTTCAGAGACATGTGCTAGGCAGAAAGTTGGAAATAAATCCACGCACACAATGCACTGCTCTAGATTTTATTTTATTTTATTTTATTTTATTTTATTTTATTAATAATACTAAATACTAAACTAAAATACTAAACATGTGTTTCAGAGAACTGGATGACGCGCTAAATTTCTTTTCTCCTCCAGTTCGACAGTCAAACGATCAAGGGCTACTTTTTTGTTTAAGACAAAAGCCTCGCACAGTGTCTTGAAAAGAGGTGGCAGTGGCCTATAGGATTAGTTATTTGGGGGGCTACATTCTCTTCCGGCGGGTGGGCGTTCTTTTCTGCAGATGCCATCGTTTCTACTAGTGCATTTATTTTATTTTGCACTGAAGACAGATCCTCTGAACACAGAGTTATCTCTGTCGTGAACCTACGTGATTTCTGAATTTATTCCAAGAGAACTTAACTCTAATCAACGATTTTTCATTATAGGAAATAATGACAGTACAGAAATTGCTCCAGAACGAAGTAATTGTTAGTATATAGATTGAACGAAATCCGTTGGGTGTTTCGTTAGGAACTCCCCAATTGCACGAAAGCATGATGGAGCAGAGAGGGTTAAAACGCATCTGATTATTTTGGGCGGTTTGCGTTTATTGACAGCCTTTATGAACTAAGGCAGAGGGGGGCGTCAGATTCCGCGCGCATCAAGCGTTTATGTGCATGACGCAAACGATCCGGAGGAGGAGAGGGACTTGGCAGGCCCGATCCTGCGCTTTTCACTTAAACGACTCTCCCTCCAAATACGGTCACTGAGGGGGCAGAATGTATGAGTTTGTGTCCAGTGACCAAGGGAGAGCGAATTAGAGGATCTGGGCTGAATGGAGAAATTTCATGGCAACTCGGGGCAAATCGCTCAGCTATGTGAAAACAAAGGAAAAATGCAGAGCATCAGTCATAGGAAAGGTTATGGCCCAAGTTTTAGCTGAAGAAAATGTGCTAGGTGTGCGGATTGTTTTGTTCCAAAACAAACCTAGGCTAGGAACCAGCTGCCTTGAAAGCGCCTAAGAGGCAACAGCTATTCTGAGTTATGAATCTTGTGAGTAATGTGCAGTTTTTGGGAGACAGAAAAAGGCAGGTGGAGCAGGAGCAAGCGACCCTGATGGGGATGAACTTTGTGCTATTTGAAATGCATTTGCTTCTAAGCGAGAGAGAGAGGGAGGAATTGTCCAATCTCCTTCCATTATAACTTACTCTTATTTGGGATGGGGGATACACCATAGAATTCATTCTAAACTTTGTAAGAATAATCCAGTTTACCTTGTACACAAATCCAGAAGTTTACAAAAAATCACACGCATCGGTTTAATTCAGTTTCTCGAATAACAAGAAAAGGGTTATGCAGAGGGGAAACGGTGCCTGCGTCCCCGCCTCCCAATTTCTTAAGCTGTCTGGACAGAAATGTGGTTGACTGTAACAGGGGGGAAATAAGGCAAGTAGAGAAAGAAAGAAATTGGGGAGAAAATATATAATTATAGAACTACAAACCGAAGCCATGTGTAATCCATTGTTCATGGACAGAATGAAGCGTTTCTTGTAACTGGAGAGTTTTCTGTTGCAGTGCTGTAAACATGTTGCTGTCCTTGGGAGCGTTAAATTCTGCACTTGGTCACGTGCGGCCCGATTCTATGGGTGTTTGCTCTGAAGCAAGTAAATGGTCCTCAAGAGAGGAGCCACGCAAAGGGTAGAGCATGTGGGCGGGCAATTGATGCAGTTCACAACTTTTACATGAACACCTCTCTAGTAAAGGGAGGGAGCGTGCCACCTCCGTCATAAGGAATGACTAACTATATGGGAAGATTTCCAGACTGTCCTTAAAAGTTCAGCCTGCTCATATTTTCTGGGAAGTTCTGCTGAAATCAGTAGGGCTTGACTTCCAAGGGGAAGTGTTTAGGATCTAGGGACCAGTGACTGAAGGCAGGGGTGCCAGGGTAGCTGAATAGTGAGTGGATGCTGGTAACCTTTGTCTACTGCAAAGATTTATTTAGGAAGATGGGGGATCCATCAAACTGCGTGGGCGTTCTTCCAAATCCTGGCACAGTTAGGCAGTTTTAAGTCCCTTTGACTTCAGTGCGAGGGGTGAGAGTACATCTTTGCATCAATCCCACTGGAATCAGCAGAAGTTCTGCTTAATTGTAGCTGGATCGTAGGTGTATATATTGTTAAAGGGCGCGCAAGAGTGCTCAATAAATCCATTTCCTCTTAAGTAATCCTATTAGATGTGAATGTTATGGAATAAGTGAAGAATGTTCTGCGACGTATATTCTTAATGGCATGTTTGGAAAGGTTGCACATCTTAGCGTGCGAGTCTACATAAAATTGATATCTGGCTTATTTGAATTAATGGAATCTACTAGAGCTAAATAGATACGTCTACGAAATTTTGATTCTTCGTTTCCTTGGTGATGCATTTCCTTGATAAATAGCACCATTGAGAAACTATTTCCTCAGAAATACTTTATGAATTATTAGCAGTCATTATCTATTATTAGAGCGAGGATACTTTAATTTGGTACGTTCTGTGTACATGTGCAATTAATGTGTACCGCAGTGTAACTAAGGTATCAGGTGGATGATAAGAAATTTGTTTCTTCTTAATGTCCTTAATAAATTAAGATTAGACAGAGAGATCGATGAAGAAATAGTTATGATATATTCACGGCTGTATGCCATTAATATGTCTGCAGTTGCTCCCTATCTTTAATTGAAACTCGAGTATTCGTGATACCAAGTATGATATATTGCAGCGCTTTATTTTTCATCCCCAGTAATATATTACGGGTTAATATTTGATGTAATGTTTTCTTGAAATACCTTATTCTTCTCTCATTAAGCACATCAGTTCAGGTGTTCGCAGGCGAGCAAACTCACAGTCCAGGGAATCCAAAGTATTCGGATTTATGCAGTTTAAACGCTGCTATCGTAAATCAAACTGAAATCAACCAGAATTGCTTACAAAGTCGTGTTACTCAGAACAGGGGTGCTTCGCTTGGAATTGGTGGCTCTGAAGCCTTTTCAATAAGATTGCTTCGGCTTAACTGGTTTCTATATGAGATTTGCTTCAGGGTTTAAGATTCAAAACTACTCTTCCTCGCAGCAATCCTGAAGGCAATCCTGTATCTTCTTACGCATCTGTGCGCAGAAGCCAGCCCCTTGAGTTTAGCGGGACTTTTCCAGTTAAGTAAGAGCACGCAGGCAGAATTACATGGAAACCGGTCCCATTGTTAATGGACGGGACTGACTTCCGAGGCACCTATTAAAAGCCGATCACGGTCTCGCTGAAATCAATGCGCATTCGTTCCCGGTAAATCCCTTTCGAACTGAAGTGAGACCTGCACTGCTAGGCTTTTCTTCCTTCCCACCCCCTCCATTTATTGCTCTCGGTATGTCGGGCGGCGATTGGAAAGTGTTAGCTTTTTTTAATTTAAAATAAATAAATAAATGTGTGCAGTTTATAGCGGGGAATGTCCAAGACTGAATTCCACCCCCACCGTCTCTTCTGAGAGGCGCTGGGGATCCAAAGTTAACTTTGCACCCATGCAAAGTAACCCCTGGTATCACTTTTAACTAAAGAAGTCTAGTAATTAAAAGTCTGAGTTGTGTGTGAGTGTGCGTGTGCGTGTTTCCGCATGCAGTCCTAATTAAATCTTTACGATCCTCTCTGTGACTATTAACTGCCAGCATGCTGCGCGAATATCCTGTACAAAAACCCAGCAGGCGGCCGTAATTAGATCGAAAATCAGACAAGACTCTTCTCATTAACTACAACAGCTCAGGCGCGCTGCTGATGAGGAGGCGAGCAGCGGAGGGTGCGAGGAACAGGTTTCCAGGAGGAGCCCCGCCACCGCCATCACCACCGCCACCACCCACCGCGCCTCCCAGGAACTGCGCCCCTAGAGCACAGGCACGCCCTTCGGGGGCACTTAATCCGGATCAACGCCAAGCCCACCCCTTTACCTGAGCGAAAGAGGATTAGAATCCCCATCCCTTGCAAGAGCTGCAGATGAGCACCAGGGGGTGGGCGCTGCCTCCAATGTTCTGCTCGCAAGCTTCCCAGCGAGACTCAAGCATGGCCACTTTTTTGGGGGGAGGGTGTGTGTTCTTAGACGTCCAGTCGGGGTTGTTCAGGTGGGGAAGAACCGTTCCGAGCTAATTATTTTTTGTTTAGGGATTAGAGGCTTGTGACACCCTTCCCTTGCCCCCAATAAGGACGGAGAACATGCCCCGGCAGGTATTTATTCCCTCTGGTTGCGTCTGTAAGGTGAGAGACGCGGTCCAGCCGCTCGCTCTTTTACAGAGCCATCCTCGACGCGTTTTACTTTGAAGTAAAGGCACTGAACACGAAGCGAGATTTATGCCCGAGTAAGCGTGCGTAGGCTTGCCGCTTGGAAAGGGGGCGAAAGGAAGAAGCAGGACTCTCCTTTTGTCTAGTGCTCTGTCCTGCGGCTATTTTTGAAGCTGAGGGCTAGCGGACGCTTCTCTGGCAAGCTCTCGGTGCCATGACCATTCGCGAGGACCCTAATTCCAAGCAAACGCGCTTAGCACTAGAGTCAGAGTGGCTGGCAAGAGACCGCTTGACCCAGTTACGCAGAAGCCCTTGAATGAAATCCTTCGCTGAGGCCATCTTCAGCAGAAGAGTCGGAAATGTTTGTTTGTTAGGTCCGTCACTGTTGCTTAGGGATAGAGTGCCCTGTTCGCTCTAGACACCCTAGCCTAGACTCAACAAGGCCTCATTGGGAGAGCAAGTGAAATCATCGAGTTAGGCAGCATCAGCTCCGTTGAATTCAATAGGTCATACATCCGAGTAGACCTGGGCAGGACTGCGCTGGTAAAACTTTGGGGGAAACACCGGTATTTAAACCCAGGCTCTGTGAAGTGGGAGGGAGAGAATGCAGGGAGGCAACCTCAGCCCAGTTTTGCTATACGTTTTATATGAAATGATGCAAATTTATTTTCTTTCATTTGTCTTGGAAACCTAATGGTTTTTGTTCGTCTGAGTAACGGTGAAGGAGGGGGAGGAATCCTCTTCCTTCATAAGGAGTTTGAAACGCCTTATAGGACTCCCTTTATTCCATGGACTGACGTGTAGGTGCGCATAACGGTAGCTGTGATGAGGAGGAACTGCTCTGCTTCTTTGAAGATTATGACAATATTTCCACTTACTAAGACTTACTGGGGTTGGGCAACAGGTGAAATTATCTTCAGTGGGGTGGGGGAATAAAGGCTGCACCTCTATGCATGCTAACTGGGAAGGAAATCCCATTAAACTGAGGCCCATCTTTCATAATACAGAGGACAAAGTCGGAGGCCTGGTCGTGTCTTGGACCGTACCACTTCAGGCTGCCGGGGGGGGGGGGGGCTGGCTGTGTTCCTATCCTGAAGAGCAATTCCCGCAGATAAATCTGTGCAGTGGAGAAGGATTCCAAGGTAGTCGTCTCCCCGCTGTGCTAGTTTTCTACGTCCGGGGACTTTTTCTAATGAAGGGACTTTAACCATGCGGCACACCGCTACCACCTGTTGCCCTAAAGAGGTATGGTCCAAACACGGATTTGGCACTCTTATTCCAGAGAACCAGGCTTCCGAGCAAGCAGTAAGCAAAACCCAAGCTTTTCTCCCCTTTGAGACCTAATCGGATCATGCAGCCACGCAATACAAGAGCCTTCTGCAGTACCTCCTCCGTGTCCAACCATGCTCGCTCCTGGTCCAAAAGATTGTATTTTTTAGTTGAAGACAGACGTGCCATGATTACAGGTGTGGCTCCTAGATCATAGCGGGAAGGAGAAGGCTAGAGGGCCATAAAAAAAATTGGCTTCGGTAGACAATCTATTTTAATCGCTTATCAGAGTATCAGTAAGTTGTTGTTCCCCGCCCCATCTTCGTTTTCTCCCCCCTCCCCAATATATGGAAATAAATGCGAGTTGCCCTTCTCCCCCTGCACCGGTAAGGAAGTTGTTCCAACAGAAGATATTGAAAGCGAAGATATTGACAGCGTGGGCTTTAAATTAAACTTACTATGTGCTTTACTGATGGCGCTCATCCTTTACTTAAACTGGCAACCTAAAGCACGCTTACTCGGAAGTAAGCCCGATTGGGTTCAGTAACATTTACTTATAAGTAAACATCTAAGATCGGGTTGTTTCGAGATCGTCGACTTGGCTAAGAGAGTGTGCATTCCTAAATTCCAAGCTAACTCGCACAGAATTATTATATCGTGAATGTGCCCTATTTCAAATGGTCTTATTGTCTAACTAGGGCAAATAAAGGAATTTTTAAAAGCTTAAAGGAATAAAGTCGGTGTATTATTTAGCTCTTTTTTTTTTTAAGCAATAAAGAAGAAAAAGAAGCCCAGGTGTTTTGCACCTCTTTCTATTAGATCCGCTAATCTGGGAGCGCTTCATTGCCCTGTCGATTTAATAAGGAACGCCTCTCTTTCCCTAGTGAATTAATATAAATGGTAATAACAGGAATTCCAGATCCTGGGCTGACGTGATGTCGTGCGCGCGCGTGAGTGCATATGTTTATACCTACGTGTACGTTGTACTCTGCCGGCCAGTCAATTTGAATAGTGATACCCCCTCCCCTTCTTTTTTGTATTCATAGTCAGTAGAAGATGCCAATAACAGCGGCATGAACTTGTTGGACCAGTCTGTCATCAAAAAAGGTATGGAAAACATTTCAATACTGTGTGTACGCGCGCGTATGTGTGGCATTTGTTTCACAGTTTGGGGACAATCGATAGTCCTTCCAAGTAATGAATATCCTTTTTCTACCTACTTGGAAGTACTTATTCCACTGGGGCTTACTCCCGAGTAAACGCGGATAGGATTGAATTGCACGTTTCACGTGGAAGAGACAAGAATACGTCAGTAGAAACAAAGAGAACGGAGGGATTAATAAAGGCAGATTTTTATAAGGAGGGAGGGTAACGGAAGCAAAACTCCCTACTGATCATGTGGACCACACTTGTAATCAATGAAATTTGCTTCCTGGGAACCACAGCTGTGATCCTAAGAACACGTCATGAGCCTAGGAATGTGCCTGGGAAGCAACCAGTTTAATTGCGCAATGGGGCTTGTTCTCCAGTATGTCTACGAAGAATCCTAGCCTCGAGCTCTGTGCACATTAAGTTGGGAGTGAGCCCCATTGTAGCCATCGAAACTTCCGTCCCGGTAAGCATTCATAAGACCTGACTGTTGATTGGCTGTATCTCTGAAATTTCATGGAACCACTTAGTAGGCAAACGTTTTGAGGATTGTGATGTAAAAGCGGAATGAACGGATCTTGCATCTAAGTGAGGTTACTTCCCTTGGTGTGGGAATGAAAGGTTTCCTAATTCTGGAATGTATCTCCCCTCCTCCACTCAGAAAGGGAAAGTCCAGTTGTGAAGCGGCCGCAAATCATTTCATAGCTTCCACCCCCCACGTCAATTCTCCTTTTGCGTAGAACAATGGCTCTGGCTAAATAACAAATTTCCCATGATCCTTGGCGGTTGCGATTCGGGCCCCTTGTTTATATTGCCTCCATGCTGCTTGCCCAATGACAGCCTTGATTTTTAGGCTGAGCCTTATGCACAATTCACTTGGGAGTAAGTCTCATTGAACCCAGCGGACAACTCCTGAGTAAACGTGCACGGGTGTGGCAAGAGCGTGGTTGTAAGGGGTTTTCCCAGCTTGTGGACACACACACACACACACACACGCACGCACGCCTGTCCTTCGGGAAAACATGGGATGGGGAGGGTTACGAATCGCACATGCTCCATTAAAAAACAAATCTACACATGCATACATGATTTAGTGTAAGTGTAGCTTCGCCCCATACTGTTAGAGGGAATGTGATATTAACAAATGTTTGCAATCTCTTGTACAGCTGTAAGCAAAATAATTAACTAATTAAACTAATTAAATGTAATTACAATAACTCATTTTGGGCGTATTGCAGCTGCTTCACCCTTTCCCCAGCTTCCCCCGCCCCCCGTTTGAATTTCCCTGACAGACTCTTGAAAACGTGGGACGATTACGGCGATAAGGCAATAGACATTGAGCAGACCCTACTCAACGAAGAGAGGGGTACTAGATTTAATGATCTCCGGAATTACTATTGCTAGATCCAGTTCTGAACTGCGCAGGATGGGCGTGGTAGCACTGGCTCTTCGGCGTCCTAAATGGCAGCCCCAATTGCCGGGGCTCGCCTTACTATTAAGAACCACTCCGGCGAGCTCCCTAACAAAGCTCCCCCAGCTCTGAGCGGAAAGGAAACAGAAAGCTGTCTTAGACTCCGATTTTGAGAGTTCCTCTGAAACTCAAGGCTCCCGTCCCAAAATCTGCTTCTATAATCAAGGGAAAGGCGGCTTAAGGAACTAAGTTTAGGAGGAACTATTTACATGTGCTGAACGTGGTATCCCACTGAAGAAAGCTGAATGGAAAGGACGTGATTTGTTTCCTTAAAATCAAATCTGTGTGGCTCCAAGGTAGAGGTGGATTAGCGGCGGAGAGAAGAGCTTCGGGCCCTGTAATTTCTGCTGCTTTCATCATGATGCAAGGCTGCGTGGGGGCGCAGCTCCCCAGCATAGGAGCCAACTCTTAGGGGCTTCAGCCCCCACAATAAAATATTTGAGGGCGCCGGGCCCCCACAAAGTTGATGGGCATTCCCATTCAAATGGTGTGCGCGCACTGCATTATATGATCGATTATGTGGGGCGAGGCTTAGCTGGGCCCCCACAATATTTTATTCAAGTTGGCACCCCTGCTCCCCAGTAAGTCAAAAGCCCGATGGGACGGGATCCTACTGGTTTTAGTGCAGGTGATATAGAACTCGGCTCCACAGATGCGGGCGGGACCTGCTCCCGAGTAAACGTCCATAGAATTACTGCTGCCTTTATGGGAAATCCTAAACTGGAATGAAGCGAAAAGGAAGGGCACAGTTCTGCTCATGTTTTCAGGTGGCACTTAGGAGCAGAGCAGGCAGCCCTCTTCAGCTGACTGGCTTGGGCAGGAAAGGTAGATTGCACGTAGATTGGTCTGCCACCATGGAGCTCATAAGCGCGTTGCTTTTTCTCAGGTCCTCTTCGTTAACTGATAGCCCAGCTTCGAAAACGTGGCCTCAGCCTTGGCGCACTTTGCGGGAGCAGGGTACTTGCCAGGGTACTTGCCCCCTTCAGCCCGTGCGCTCTTCCGTTGCCTTGAATGGCAGTAGGATCTCTCCTGGGTTGCACCGTTACAGCCCAGTCTTATAGCACAAGTCTCTTCCGAAGTCAGAGTACTTATTAATAACTTTCTCGGGAGGGAAGTAACTGCATATTTTATAGAACGGCGTCGTATAAATTTCGATAATGAGCAAGCCAATCAATTTAAGGCCGCGGCGCTAAACAACCGAAGCCAATGAAACAACTAAGTAAATGTGATTGAGGTTGAGGGATGAGGATGAGACTATATATCCTCCAAATGTTGTTGGATTCCCTTTCGCATCGGCCCCAGCCAGCATGGCCAATGTCTAGAGATGATCATCATCATTTATGACTTGTACCGCTGCGAATTGGAGTCCGGCGCATCCGCGGACACCACGTTGACAACCCCGGCTACTGTCGCCTTTTGCTAGCGAAGTCAGTCCAGTCGAACTCAGTCCTAAGGAGTCCTTCCCTCCTGCCCCGGTGTGTGTGTGTGCTGCATAATATTGTCTAACAAATCTCTCTACATAGGAGCCAACTCCTAGAGGTCAAGGAGTATTTGCCCCCTGCCCCCCAAGTTGATTGGCATTGCTTTTCAAATGGTGTGGTGCACCGCGTCATGTGATCGATTACGCAGGGCGGGGCTTACCTGCCCGCCCCATATATTTTATTCAAGTTGATTACTCGTAGCACGATCTTAAGTATTTTTGGTTATATTGCCTTCCTTGTCACCTCTACTGAGAAGTGAGCTTCTTGAGTTCAATAGGGCTTACTCTCAGGTAAGTTATATAGGATTGCAAGCATAGATGCCAATTGTATAGTATGCAGACTCCGCTAACCCAGAAATATCACCTCTGGTTAAGAACTTTGGTTCAGGATGAGAACAGAAATCGTGCTCTGGCGGCGCAGCTGCAGCAGGAGGCCCCATTAGCTAAAGTGGTGCTTCAGGTTAAGAACAGTTTCAGGTTAAGAACAGACCTCCAGAACGAATTAAGTTCTTAACCAGAGGTACAACTGTATAAAGGAGTGGGGTATCTGTTCCATTGGAAGCCATAGTAACTGCGTTAGAATCACTGCCCAGAATCGCATTCACTACTCTTAGAAGAGCGTCCTGTTTTTAAAATCAGATGTGTGGACGACTCCCCACACCTTCTGCACACACAATTCAAAAGTCTTGGGAATTCAATGTTTTCCTTCCAGTGAGCCTTGTCTGAAATCCCTTTCGAGAAATATGGCTGGACAGGTTTCTAGTAGCAAAACAACGAAAGGCCTAGGGGCATCTGTGGCTGCCTGTCCTTAAGCAGATCCTGGGAAGAGGGAAGCTGCAGGGGCCGCGAGGTGTTTGCGCAGATAGTTGCAGGATCTGTGGCAGGGAGACGGCCGCTCTCTTTCTTCTGGCTGGAACCTAATGCCAAAGGGATGTATCGTTGCAGCTGCAACCCTCTCTGCTACGTGTGAACGGATAGAAAAGTGGAGTGACGCTTCCTATTTCACACAGAGCGGTGCCCATTTTTCTAGGCAAAAATATCCCAGTGACAAAGGAGATGCGATATGGAGATAAATTATCAACACATTCAGCTCATCCCTTAGCGCCCATGTCTTACGATCTTTGAGGCCTATGAAAGTAATGGCGATATCTGTCATCTTTTATTGCCACGCTGGTCCCAGTGTGTGACACTCCCCCCCTTTTTTTTTCTTAGCGTGAGAGGGAGGAGAGGAAAGACTACACGGTAACCCTCTTCATTCCCTCTAGTCGTCTGTTTAAAACCTTGGTACCAACCAGAATAAAATTCAGTTCATATCTCCATCTTGCACACATCCGGCTGGTGGCAAGCTCCACTGGAACTGGGTGGCTGAGAGAGGAGGTTTGCATGTGCGTGCTTGATTCTGAACTGCTGGGAGGCCTGGTGGAAGAAGCCCCTGCAGAGAAATGGCGCATCTCTCCCGCAAACACGCAGTTCCGTTTCAATTCAGACAGTTCACACGTGCAGCTGCAATAATAATAATTTATTATTTCTATGCCGCCCATCTGACTGGGTTGCCTCAGCCACTCTGGGCAGTTCCCAACAACAAACAGTAAAAGCTCAATACAACACACACTAAAAACTTCCCTGAACAGGGCTGCAAGGCAAAAAGCGTGGCGTGAATAATCAAGCAATGTATTTGAACGAATGAATCAGTCCTCAATACCCAATAAACCTGTTTTCGGATCTGGGTGCGAAACTCTCTGCCTGCCTGCATGTCCAGTTTCTTTTGAGGCAGTAGCAGCGGCAGCAAAAACCAAACCTGACCTGCGTGTGCCGTCGAGCCTCTGTTGTATTACGTACTTCAGAGTCCGATGGCTGGTTCTGCTGAAGGCCCCATGAATTTAATTTAATTTGCAATCCTAACCCCGTTTGCCCGGCTGTATTCAGTAGGAAGTAGTAGACATCCTTCGCTTCCATAGGGACTTCAGCCTTAAGCAAACTTACTAGAGCGCGAATCCCACTGAGTTTAGTAGGAGCTTACTTTGTAGTAAAAGTGCATTGGGTCGAATTGTTAATTTAATCTAGGACTACTTTTCATAGTCAAGTTCTGTCTTCCTCGCGTGTCGTCTTTTAATTGTTTATTTTTATTTCGTCCTTGCTTCCTTCTCCATCTACTAATCTTGAACTGAAGTAAACAGATGGGTTGTCTATACTCCTCTCTCTCCCCCCGACCTCGCTGTTTCCTGGCTGAGGCGCTTGACTCCGTCGCAGAAACACAATATGTTGTGAGCTGCACACTGTCTCCCTCCCTCCCTCCCTCCCTCTTCTCTCGTTATGTTTGCGATCTGGGCTTCCTTGACATTTCTGAGGTAATTTAGTTAAGAGGAAATGAGTTGTTCCCAGTAGAGAGAGCAAACGAGTGGAGTGGAGGTAGCCAGCGTGATAAATGGCTCTTTCATTTGGAGATCTCCAGAGCTCGTTTAAGGCTAATTTTCTGTATTAGCCCCCTTTGAGCTATTAATGCAATAGGCAGGGACCGTGGCCCCTTGTCTCTGAGCTGCCCCATTAGAGGCAGCATTAAGCTGCCAAGCCGGATCTCCGTTGCTGGGGTGCTGGTGAGGCTATAATGAAAGGTGCTTTTTGCAAAAAAAAAGGAAAAGAAAAGAAAAGACAAAAATGAAGAAAACGGGGGGAGGGAGAAGCAGTTCCTAATCTAAAGTGGCAGAGGGTGGTTAATACGATTTGAAGGGGGCTGGTCAATGAGCAATCAATAAAGTAATAATGAGAGGGATGCGCTACATTAACAGGCTAAAAATCCAACGAGACATTAAAAAATCATTCGTAACTCTTATTTCCATTAAGGCAGGCGGAGGGGGGCGGCGGCGGCAGTCCCAGCTTTAGAGAGCAGTAAACGCAAAGGGTGACAACGCCGAATCCCCTCCACGAAAGTGGAGTTTGGGATTCCGTCGCGCCCTGCGATGTTCTGCAGTCAAACCCTCAGCAGAAAACCCTGTTGCTAACGAAGGGAGGCCTTCCCAAGTCACACACTTCGGGACTGCAGCTTTTGCGACCGGCGCGTTTGCACATTGAGCGAATTGATGGCAGCCCCTCCCACCCTCAGAGGTGAAATGCGAATTGGAGGCCATTCAAGTCCAACTCTACAACAAGCAACCCTGGAACACCCCTGAGCAAACTTCACCACGTCTTTTAACTTGTTTTACTTTATAGCGAACCTAATTGTTTCTCAGTAGAGCTTACTTCTGATTTGGAGACTACTTCCATAAGGTTAAGAGTAACTAAGCATTGCAGAGGGTTGGACTAAATGACCCTTGGGAGCCCCTTCCAAACGCTTATGATTCGATAATCCGGGTTACCTGAGTTGCCAGATCGCACGCTTTCCTGGGGCGGGGAGATGTATGAACCCTTCGCCCGGGCAGACATTAAATATTAGCAACGGCCAACGCGGAGCAGGATCCCCCAGCGGCTCGAATGGCTTTTCAAACACCGGCATTGAGGGTGGGGCACGTTGGCTAAAAGGCTGAATGAAGCGATGTTTTGATTATGCACGGAGCGGTAAAGCGGGGGCGAGGAGACTCCCTGTCCCCGTAGCCTCTGGGTGGAGTCTGTCGGAAGTGCGGAGCCGCGTTGAGGGAGACTCGCTGCAAGGCTTTCCTAAAGGAACGCGTCGTGATAAGGATTCTCTCCCATCTCTGCAGACTTCATGGCTGGTCCACCCTCATGACTTTGCTGAACCCGAGGGCTTGGTAGTTTATTAGGCTGTTTTGGATGTGGCTAGTAGGAAGCCCTCTCCCACTTGAAATTGTCACTGGCAGTTACTTCGGGATCAATATGTAGATAATTGGACCTCAAAGCGGCAAACGCATCCCAGCAGCAAATGCGTGGGATCGTATCCTGACTCCCCACGGTGGGCAAACCCCTGGGAATCCAACGGGGAACCGTCCGCCACCCGGCTCGCATTTTCTTCCTCTGCGTGGCGAGCGCAATTGTAGCTTTGAACACGGAGACACATATAATCAACGCACATTCAATGCACGCAAGAATCCTGGCAACCTTAGACTTACAATTCCCGGTACCTATAGCAAACCATAGTTCCCAGGATTCTTTGAGGAAAGTCGTGCCCTTTAAATATGCGTTGGCTGTGCTTGATTTATGGTGTAAAGCGCAGGAAGAGGCCAAGAAGAGGGACCTGAGCAGTTGGAAGCCATTCTAAGAAGCAGTGTGCAGGGATGGACCCTGTGGTTGGTTCAGCAGTGGTCAAGACTCTCACGAAAGGAGTCCACACATTATATGTATAGATAAGATTAGATACCATTTTGCAAGGAACGGAGAAGGGAAAATCCCGTTCTGGGCCATCGGCTAGTATTAATTCTCCTTCGAGAAAAACCGCTTTTGAATGCAGCGGGGCAGGTACGGCGGGTCAAAGCTTAACTCTTTTTGCCCGGGAGACATTCCAAGGCTGACTTTTGGGATCCAGTTGAATGCAGCGCTTTATGTTGACGCCCTTGTCCAACCCGTGTGAAAAGGGTAAGGGGCGTCTTGAACTTGCCGATTGTAGCGATTTATGACTTGATATCCCCCCCCCCCCCACGAACGGGGAGGCGGGTTTGTAGGCCTGCCTGAAACCTGTTTGCAGGAGTAGCACCACGCCTGCCCAAAGCCCAGAGCTAAAGGAACTCGCTGCCAGCTAAAGAGAAGGGAGAGGCAAATCTGGAGTACAGTAGAGAGAGAGAGGGACAGAGAGAGCTGACCGCATCGGGCAAATATTTGCTAAAATCGCTTGAGCTTTTTGCCAGTCATTTCAACGAAACGCAGAACATGCAAAAACTGAGCTGAGTCGAGAAGGAACTTCTTCCTCTTTCTTCCAGCTGTTAGGTAGTGCGGTTTAAGGCTGCGTGAGATCCTCGGCAGGTCTTTACAGGGGGCTGAATCCCATTGCGATATTCTAGCCAAGTTAGGATGGCACTATAAACTGCTTAAATCGAAACAACTGGAAAGATGAATTCGAGAGCGTGTAGAATTCCATTCAGTGAAAATGGGTTTGACATTAAAGTTTTCCGGAGCTGAAGCTTTGTAGCCTCCCGCGACTGGACACATACTTTTTTTTGGTCCTAGAAGAGACACAATAATATAAAATAAGGAAATAAAGCTCTCTGTGTCCTTAGCGGTTGATGTGAGGAAGCCTGCCAGCAGATTTACAAAGCGAAGCAGGGTCGTCGGGTATGGTTTCAGATTGGATGGGGAACCGTGTGTGGATGTTCCTGCACCACAGGGGTTGGGCCAGATGACCTTTGGAGTCCCTTCCAACGCTGTGATTCTATAGTTATGTGTTTTTGCAGCTTGGCTTGGTAGTAAATGTTTATTTACACCGAAGAAATGCTTTCCCTCAGGGCTGTTTAGCACGTGCCCTCCAGAGGCTCCCAGCACCCTCAGCCGTGGTGGCCCGTGGTCGGGTCTGCAGGGAGTTGAAGCCCACAGCCTTTGGAGGGCACAGCCTTGGTTTCCTTGGGCCTTGCTGGAATATTTTCTTCCGAGAAATGTGTGCGCCACGTGGGATTGAAGGCCAAGTCGTTGCTGCACCTTTGAACATTTAACTGGCCGTTGAAACCCGCGGGACTCACTTCTCAGCAAGTATCCAAAGGACCAATCTCCAAGAACACTTGTCTATTCAAAAGAGGGAAACTTTCGAATTATTGCGCGCTCATTACTTGACACAAACAGATTTTAAAGAGACTTCCAGATAAATTAGCACAATCCGCTTGCTGGCTACTGGCCCGATTTATTTTAAGAGGATTCCTCGGGAGCAAATGGGTCGTGGCTTGGGGTGTTGCTGCAGAAAACACCCACATTACATAAGAACAATTCCACGATTCCAAACCCTAATTAAGTGCGGTTGTGTGTTTTTTTTAACGTATGATTAATATATAAAACGAAAATAAACAGAAACTCAGAAGCGCCATAAATCTAGCCTTGTGATCCTATCACAAGGTATTTGGGAGCCCCATTGCTCCGGAATCGCCCCCTTTTAGTTAGTTTGTTTGTTTGTTTGCTCTCTGTTGTGTGGGAGCAACCCAATGGAGAACCGATTTTCTTTTCTCCCTGCCCGCCCAGCCTTAATATATGCGTGGAAAATGGTAAACATGTAAAGAAGCGAAAGTTTCACGCTGGGTTGCTGCACGCTCCATTTCCTTGCCGTTTCCTGCTGTCGTTTCAAAGCGATCTTGCTCGACTAAGAGCTCCGGTTTTCGGGAACAGGATTGTCGTTCATAATTACTAGCAAACCAAGCGGCTACTGCGGCTCCCTCGCTCCTATTGATAAGCTCAAGAGAAAGGGAGGGAGGGAGGGACGAAGATGGGAAGGGAAGCGGGGAGGGCGGTCCCTTCCTTCTGTTAGAAATTAAAACAAAAGCACCCACCTCGGTTATAATATTACACCGGAGTGGCAGCGGGTGCGGGAGGAATCGCTCTCAAGGAGACGAGAGAGGAATAGGCTCTTGGGTTTGAGAGAGGAGCTGCGGGGGGGGGGGGTGTCCCTTGCCCGGTACAGCAGCCCAAGCAAAGGATGTAGTGGCTCAAGGGGGGGGGCGGGTCGCTGTAAATCGCCTTGAGACCTTGTCAGGGAAAAAGGCGGGGTATAAATAAATACGTGATAATGATAATACGTGGAAGAAAAGCAGCAATTACTTAACTCCCTTTCCCCATCCGCTCCCCAATCTTAGTGACTTTTACTTGGGAGTAAATTCCATTGGCTTATAAAGAAAGTAGATGACTAGCCGGGAACATGGATTTGCTCTGACGGAAAGACCCCGCTGAGTTCTGTGGGGGCTGTTGCAAAGTGTGTCTGGGATGATGGCCTTACGGAATGGGTGGCGGATTCAGCCGGGGAGTTGCAGGTTGGGGTCACTTCCGGACGCCGCTCTGGTGGCCGTCACAGTTCCCTGCCGCTAATAATGTTGGCGCTGAGGAAAGAGGCTGTGCAAAACCTTCTCTCTCTCTCGTGTGCTAGTTTACCCAATGCAGAGCGATGGGGTTACTTTGGGGAGCATTCAGAAACAGCACACCCAGCCACACTTCGGCAATTGAAATGATACCAGTCCGGAATTCCAGTTCTTCCCTCCATATAAAGTGAAGAACGACCCTCAATATTTTATGGGAAATAAATTCTATTGCATTCAATGGCTACAGAGAAGTAAAACAGATGTTAATAGTACTTCAGACCCAGCGAGGAGCCAACTGAGCTCTGTCCATGCTCAGAGTCACTCTGCCTCTGAAAAGTTTCAGGGCTGAGCGCTAGCATCAGAAACAAGTAGTTTGAGCTAACAGAAGAGCCCTGCTGGATCGGGCCCAAGGCCTGTCTAGTCCGTTATCCTGTTCTCATACTAGCCAACCAGATGTCTATGGGAAGGCGGCAAGGAGGGCCAGAGCACAACAGATCCTCCCCATTTGTGGTTCCCTGCAACTGGTGTTCAGGGACAGTGGAGGTACCATGGCTGGGAGCGTAAAATCGTTGCTACGCTGAACTCAAGAACAAAATTAAGCTCTTCTGGATCATCGTAATCACCAATAACAACAAAAAGTGGAGGAGGCATTTAGGTTAAAATTCATCATGAGCTGTGTGCTTTCGCTGTTCGTTGTGCCGCGTACGCCCCCGCTCTTGTGCACCTAATGGGTATATCTTGAGTAACTGAAATCTCCAAATTGCATTACATTTGGCAATAGCTTTAATATAAAAGTAATTATACAGATCTGGATAACTCGATCCCTATAGTTTCTTCCATGGGAGGCTCGCTTTTCCCTTTCCTTTCCTTTTTCCCCTTCAAAAAGAGAGAGAAGAATTAGGTAATTTACAAAAGATGGACTGGAGATTAGAGCGCACATCTCCGGAGCTATGAAATTGCAATGGATACGGTTATGTAGAGGTTTGCAGGAGCTCTCCGTGTATTTGGAAACGTTTGCCCATGTCATCTCGCCCTTTACTAAAGGGCTGCTTCTTTCAAAGGGACTGTAGCAACAACAACAAGAAGAAGAAGCAGGAGGCAAGCGCCAATAATACCTGTTAGACGGTACCTACATGGGAAAATGCTATGAAATGCATTCGCTTCAGTTATATAAGCGGGCAAAGCGACCAGTGCAAAATCTGTTTAAACTCCCCTTGCACTCCAGTCCCGATCAGATCTACTTAGAGGCAAGTTCCGTTCATTTTAATGAGTGTCCCTCTGGTGACTTAGGATCGCAGCCTCTGACTCAGATGAATATTTTATTTACATCAAGTAGAGTGTGTGTGTTCTTGTTTTGTTTTTTCCCCCTCATGTCCAGCCCGATCCTATGTATGTTTACTCGGAAGTAAGTCCCAGTGTGTTCAACGGCGCTTACTCCCAGGTAAGTATGCACAGGGTTGCAGCCTGAATGGTCAACTTACTTGGAGGATGGGTTTGATGAGACACTGGCATCCAGATCCACCGCCCAGTTGGCTGCAGGACTCGCGCTCCGACCTCAACACATTTAATTGGAAGCACATCCCCACGTAAGGAAAGGGTGAAAAGGATCCTGGACGTGAGAATGGTCCCAACCAAATTAAGCATCTGGGGAGAAAGTGCGGTTGGGGTTAGGGTGGGGTTAGGGCGCCTTTTGGAGCCCTTGCTCCTCGGAGACAACTTTAGGATGCAGGCTGCTGGACCCTTGCATCTGGTCACGTATTTTAATTTAACCGCCCCCACCCCGCAAAGTAAGTCCCATTGTCTTGGACTGACTTCCAGGTAAGGCTGCAATCCTGTGCATGCTTCTCTGGTAGCAAGTCCTATCGAACGTGGTGGGACTTGCTTCCGAGTAAATATGTATAGGGATCAGGCTTCGTAAGAGTACTCAGTTCCAACGCAAGTCCTCTAAAACGGAAAAAACCCTGTTTCCTGAATGTATTCCTTCAGCCACAACCCAAGAAATGTAGGATACCTGCTGCTAACAGTTATGGCAAGATACTTCCAGGAAAGATGAGCAGCGTTAGGAATGGGGCATCTTTCTAGTTTTGCTATGGTCTTATTGTAAACTGCCCTGTGATCCTCGGATGAAGGGCGGTACAGAAATTTAACAAACCAACGAACCCTACCAGCAGCGTCCTCGTAGTAGTGGCAATCCTGGAGACAGGCAGCCTCTTTCTGCTGAAGACAAGGGGGCAGAACTGCATCTCAGGCTCTTTCATTTACATCCCTGTCCTTCTAAAACTCTTCGGGGCAGACGAATGGTTTGTTGGCAAGCGCGTCTGAGAACATTGCGGCCCGAAATGACTCAGACCTATGGAGTTGGCTGCGATTCCAGCTGTAAATATTTTTCAGCGCCTATTAAAAATGCTTCTCGATCGATAAAAGGGAGGGGGCGCTGCCACTTGTAGAATAAGGTTGAGACACCCCCCCCCCCCCGCCGCCGCAGTAAACTAGTGAGGCTTGCTTTGGAGTAAATCTGTGTTGACCTGCCCTGTAAGGGTGCGGTTTCCTCGTGTGAGGATGCAACTAAAAAGCAAGTGGTGTGTAAGGGGGTCGTCTTCGTTTTAAAAATGGGACCCCTTTCTTTTGGCGTGACCATGTTGTTGCGTTGCCAGTGAGAGCTGCTATGACGTCCTCGCTAAGCCAGTTAAGCGGCCGGGGGCGACAGAGGCTGAAGGCGGTTTAGGATGGGGGTCTTTGCAGAGGACCGCCAGCAAAACTCACCCCCAGACTTGGTTTTAGGCCTGGTCAGCCGAGATCCCAAGGCTGCTGCTCCCACTCTGATGAGATTGGACCTTTTTCGTTTCTTTCTAATTAAATGCCTTCTGTGATTTGATATTTTATTTTCTGGTCATGGAAGGCGTTCAGGAGCCTTGATAGACTGAGGAGCTAATATAAAAAATTTCTAAAATGCAGAGTAGGGGTGGTAAAAAGGAGGGATGGGAGATTCATTCTAAATACATCTCTCGGAAGGAAGTTCTGGTGAGGACTTAAAGAATCTTAGTAAAAATCAAGTTTAGGATCCAGCTGAAAGATTTATGAGACCCCTAGAACGTGTTTTACAAAGCCGATAATAAGGTCTAGAAGATGCAGATTAATAATGACGATAGTCCCTTTGAGCATGTACAGAGTGCATTCCCCTTATCCACAGGGCGCAGTTCAGCCACAACTGAGTCACTCAATTGGGACTGATTTCACAGATAAGCCTCTGCAACACCTTGCCCTAGACGAGTCATAGATCGACTAGATAGATAGATAAATAAATATCGATGGACTTTTAAACGGGGGCGGGGCGGTTTACTGTTTTAGTTTGTTACTATGTTATGTATTTTTGTGTTTTTATATTGTAAACCGCCCTGTGAATCTCGGAAGGAGGGCGATAAAGATATATATTTTTAAAAAATAATATAAATAATAAATCGAAATGCGTGAAATAAGGAAGATAAAATATATGAGCGAGAAGAGCAAACGGAAGCCGAGCCACCTTTCGCTTCCCATGTGGCAAAACCACTCAGTCGTTTACTTTGAAACCTCCGTCCAATCCGCACCAAGCAGCACGGATCTATGAAATCTAACACGGGCTTGGGACCTCTGTAGTTGTTACAGCGCTTTAGTGTGGGATTCTGGTGTGGTGGAAGGAAATATTTTGTAATAAAACCTGGACGAAGGCTTGTTCTGTCTACTCCTTCCCTTGAGGTTATTGACTTGCCAATTTCCTTGGTAAGCCTAGCCTGTTAAGACACTCGATCTTACACGTTTGGGAAGCTCGGGAGATGTGTATATAATCAATATATATGCAACGCGCCCGCACACCATACTCCCGCCCCCTTTGCCACTAAACAGTATTTTCATGAATGGGACAACAATCCTTTTCCTAGGGATACGAAGCTGGAAATAAAGAGTCCCGTTGAAATAGATCAGATTGTACTTCACACCTGGCTGAAACTCTAGCGCCAGGATATGATGATATTAAGAATCCTTAAGGAGTTCTTAAAAGTTGGCTTTCCTCTCTGCTAACCAATTATAGATGCGATTCATTTTGAGGCATGAAAGTGTCATAGAAAGCTGAGACCTGGTTCTCACAAATAATAGTTGTGGTAGCCTCCTTACAGGAGTGTACCACTTCAGATTGCAGGCGGGCGGCTCAAACGGTGCAGTGTTTTGCCTTTGGATAACATTCCTAAGTGTAAGAAATCTAGCACATCAGGAAAATGGCTAGGTTATAACCCTTTCCTCTGACATTTAGTTTTCTATATCCAGAAATCCCCCCCCCCCAAAAAAAGAAGTGGGACAGTCCGGACACAGGTTTATCATTTCATCTGCTCTATATAAGAACGAGTGTAAAGTACAGAATCTGGACTTGCCATATATTTGGCTTCCTGCAGGGCATGCTTGTAGAATCCAAATGTCTCCTTCCCTCCCTTTCGGAACTTGAGAACTCGCTTTGTCTATTAAGGTAGCACCAGCCTGCAGTGATCTCAAGGAAGCAGCAATAGCAGCAGCTGTCAGCCCTTATTAACTCTTGCATGAAGCGTACCTTAAGTATGGTTTGTTCTCAATTACAGGCAGCAAATGAAACAACTGGGGGAGGGATGCAGTAAGTCTTTGTATAAATTATAGTGATTGGTTGATTGATCAGAGCACCTGCTGCAAATCAGAGGGATTTTTTAAAAAGTTTAGTAGCAAGCAAAATATATCATTAATAATTTCCTTCTATTTGTTTTTTTTGGGGTGTGTGTGTGCCCTGTTTAATAACTTTATACCCAAGTCTACTTATAGTTGGTGAATTTGCTCTAATTCTCTTAAAACAGCGCTCATTCTTGAAATAAATTGTTTGAGCAGCTTGGAATCTTAGGGAAAAGCAGCTTTTCAGTAGTGAGCTCCATTTTCATTTGGAATTAGAATGATTTGCTTTTTTTACACACCCAGCCCTCCCAGTATGTCTGTTAAATAAAAAATAATGTTTTCATCAATTCCAAGCCAGGATAAAGGGTTGAAAAAACCCAAATATACAAGTTTTTATCAAACCAGTGCAAAAATGATCCCGCTGCTAAGCTTACCAGTCTAGCAATTTATTGGATTCCTTTCCTTTTTATATTTGTGAATCAGTACTAAAAAATAATGAAACAAATATTTACGAGTAATAACTATTTATTTATACAGTGCATAAAGTGTCTTACAGTTTATATGTAGAGAGAGAAGCTACTGATCAATCCAAACTCTGAGTGCCCATTCTAGCAAACAGGAAATGCTGGACTTGACTGCTCTTTCTGGATATCCCACAAATATTATTAAAAACACTGATATTCTTTTCTTTGGCTTGTCCATTATAATCTACGGAGCTACACTAAACAGCTCAAAAGCTTACTTCCCTCTTTTTAAAAACTGTATTTATAGATGTGATCCAGGAACAAGTTAAGCCAAAATGTTTCTTTTGAATGTGATGTCCCAATCACTTCACGGTGCCTAAATGAGCTTTCCATACAAGTTTCTCTGGCTCAATGGGTTAGTGGGTCAGGCTGTGAATCTCTAATTGCCCTTGTTTCATATTCTGTTTTACCATGTGGTTGTAGTAAAGGCCGCCTGCTGTCTCCAACTTCTACATAATTACAAATATACTTAGAAACACCAGGGCAACTTCCCTAGAGATAAGGAAGAATCTATGAAGGGTTAATTGGAGTATTGTTGCAACTACCCTGGGGTTAAACTAATAGATTCATGGGTTGGTGTTCTAAATATCTAATCTGTGAAAAAGCTTGAAACAGTCACTGGTCCAGAGAAAGATATACAATTGTTGGTTTGAGATTTAGAGAGACAACTGGGTGACTAAATACAACAGGGATAGTCTTCCCCACCCTAAATATTGTGCAAAAAATTAGCTTCAGCAGGTGTGGCCTAACATGCTATTTAGCCCGGAAAAGACAATTAAGAGGTGGTGCTATGACAAGCATCTTAAAACATGGAGCTAATTTATTTTCTGATGCTTTAGGAAAGGACCTGAAGCAGTGGGTTGAAATTACAATATTGGTGATTTTGACAAAGTGTTAGGGAAACTCCCTTGGAAGATGGAGGCCTCTCCTTCATTGGAGGTTTTCAAAGCTTAATTGCCACCTATCCAAGATGCTGTAGCAACAGCAGCAAATCAGATGACCTTTCAGGTCCCTCCAACTCTATAAATCTAGTGAAATGCCCTTCCCACTCCATGTAAGGGTTTAGAGCATAGGCTCCATGTCACCCTAAAAGAGAGAGTGGAAACTCAGAGTTCGTGCACTAATTAAGATGAACACAGATTAAAAAAAATAAAGAAACTGGGACACAACAGCTGTATTCTGCTGAACTCAAGTTGACCAATAGAAGCTGGCTCTCTTCATAGACATCCACCTGTTAAACCTGGCTTCTCAGTGACGAGTGGGGTTCTTCATCCCCCTCCACCACTGCCATTCCTGCGCCTATTGTGTTTTTATGTTGTACCCTGCCACACACACACACATGGTGGATTATGAATAATTAAGCAAATAAGTAAGTAAAACTAGCACCCAATAGGTAGATATAAAATGATGGAAATCTTGTCCTGGCATGGGGCAGCGTGGGGGGGCCACCCTTAATCTATTGCATTTCTGACTATTATGTAGGTATTTACTAGGAGTTGTGCAAGAAAACTAGTTGGCAGCTTCTGCTGGTGGAGAAGGCTTTCCAGCCCAACCCCATGGCAGCCGAATGTTTTCTGATAGACATGTAAAGGCAGTATGCCAACTTTCAGTGCACCCCTTTCTTCTTCTGAGTTTTTAGGTGATCCCTTTTGGAGAGCTTAGAATGACCCACCTTTGCATTATACTGGAGACTTAGTATCCAGAAGCACAAAATATGTGAGCTATTAATTGCATAGAAAACAGTGATGTTAAGTCTGGTAGTATTGTAGGTATTGACTTATTCCATATGGGTTGTGTTCCTTCCCTTCCAAGTTCACCTTGCTGTCCTGGGACCCATTGCAGCATGTCTCCTTTCACTACTTCCATGGAAAGAATTTGTCATTTGGTCCTTTTCCATAGGCAGTATGGGACTCTTGCCAACATCACCTTCAGCAATGTGGCTTCTTTCTGTGTTGTAGGAAATGCCTAATGTCCGAGACTGACTCCTCATTATTATGCCACAGTTGCTCCTTCCTGAAAGAAGAGTCTCACTGTCCTGGAAAGGAGCTCCTCTGCCCACAGCTTAGTCTTAGAGTGACTTCCAAGCATTACTGTGAGCCGTAAAGGATGGAGTCAGGCTCCATGGCAGCTGCTCCCACTCTGTTCACTGTCATTCTGGATGGGGTCCTTTGGCCCCTCTCAGTTTAGCAGCTCTCATTTTCCGAGGATAATGCCCAAAGGGTCTTTCTATGTGAAACACTGCTAATGTGGCATTGGGGCCTGACATGGCAGCTCTATAAGAACCATCCCTGTGATGGGATCCCCCATATGACTCTGAGCAGTAAGCCATCCAAACAAAAGGTGCTGAATCAATGGGACTGACTTCTGGTTGAGCAAATGTGGTCTTATGACTGAGCCGGTCACTGAAGTGTGCTGTTTCCCACACCTACTTTTCTGTCTCCCCAGTTCCAGTTCCTCCAAAATCTGTAACTTCCCTGATGATGAACAAAGACGGCTTCCTTGGTGGCATGTCTGTGAACACAGGCGAAGTATTTTGTTCAGTACCTGGGCGGCTCTCCTTGCTCAGCTCAACTTCCAAGTACAAAGTAACTGTTGGAGAAGTTCAAAGGCGCCTCTCACCCCCAGAATGTTTGAATGCCTCGCTTCTTGGAGGAGTACTTAGAAGGTAAGGCCTTGGGATAGGTATATGTGTGCTTATGTGTGAGATTTATTACGTGGTGTTACAGGGATCAGCTTTGTGCATATCTGTTGATGTTGATGCATGTAGAAGACCTCATAGGACATATACTTAACAGTCTGGCTACCAATATGCATGCATGGGACTCTGAGGACTTCTTGGAAAAAACCAGTTGGCTGCAAGGCTTTTGACTGGGACTGGTCATGTGCAACACATCTCACCAGTTCTTAAAGGACTACATTGGCACTGCTTTTCAGAGCACAATTCAAAGTTCAGGAGCATATCCTTTAAAGCAATATACTACTTGGGACTCAGGTTCTTCAAATGCTCCCAAATGAATCTACCCAAATGTTAAGATCCTCTTCTGGGCCTGGGTGGCTGTGCCTTTGGAGATGAGGTACGTAGCAACTGAGAAAAACTCTTTTCAGCTGTGGCACCCCATCTTTGGTGTTCCCCCAGTGAGGCTTGCCTACGACTGAGTCTCTCATGTCCTTTTGGGACCTTGTCCTGCTCAGGTGCCCTTTGATTTTTGTTTCCTGTGATATGTTAATTTGTTGTTGTTGTTGTTGTTATCAATAACCATGAAGCATAGAATCATTGGGTTGGAAAGGGTACCAAGGGTCATCTAGTCAATTCCCCTGCAATGCTGAAATCTCAAATGTCCTATTTTTGCTTTCATCTATTTTTTAAACATTGTTTTAAGTAAGTTTTACTTGAAGGGTAGGGATGATATGATAATGTATGCATATTCAGCACTTTAGCTGTTGTACTGTAATAGCCTGGAGTTAAGTTCTAGTTACAGGTAGGTAGCCATGTTGGTCTGCCATAGTCAAAACAAAATTTAAAAAATCCTTCCAGTAGCCCCTTAGAGACCAACTAAGTTTGTTATTGCTATGATCTTTCGTGTGCACGCACACTTCTTCACTGAAGTGAAGAAGTCACCAGACCCTTATATATGAAAAAGTCACCAGACCCTTATATATAGTGAGAGTGTGTGTGTGTGGGGGGGTCTGTTGACTTCTGTTTCAGTGTATCTGAAGAAGTGTGCATGCACACGAAAGATCATACCAATAACAAACTTAGCTGGTCTCTAAGGAGCTACTGGAAGGAATTTTTTTATGGAGTTAAGTTGTGAGCCAGGCATTCTAGGGGTCAAAATACATTAGGTGGTTTTAGGCCAGGAGTGGTTAGCCTGGGCTCTTCCAGATGTTGCTGAGCTATGAGCATAGCTGTCAACGTTTTCCTTTTTCAAAGGGAAATTCCCTTATTCCGAATAGGATTCCTCGCAAGGAAAGGGAAAAGTTGACAGCTATGGCTCTGAGTTCTATCATCCTTGAACATTGGCTATGTTGGCAAGGGCTGATGGGAGTTGGAGTACAGCAACATGTTGAGTGCTGTCGGTTAGCCATCTCTTTTAGGCAAAGCACTCACTTTCAACCTTAACTTCCCCCTCCATGAATTCATAATGCTGGCTTATTTTAAAAGGTTGTTGTAAGAATTGCTAAGGCACATGGCTGGCCCAAGACATTTTGTCACATGAGGCAACCACAAAATGCTGCTTCCTCCTCCTTCCAGGGAAGAAGGAATGAGTGATGATCTACCAGCGGTGAAGGGTGCTCCCACTGCTCCTGGGGCGGACACATGTCCCCTTGGGGGGGTGCAGGGGGGCACAGGGGGTGAAGGAGCCCACTGCGCCTGGCCATCCCTCACTCCCAAAGCAACACCAGCCATTGGAATGACACCGCTTGGGATTGGTATCACTTCAGTGGTGAGGGCTGGCCTGCCACAGCTGGCTCTGTTCGCCCTCCACGCCCCTCCATGGAAATACACCAAAGCTGATTGAAGAGTGTTTCCATGATGGGGTGTGTTGCTCCAGTGGCAAGGGCTGGCCTGGTGCAGGGGCTCCATTTGCTCTTCACACCCCACCATGGAAACACTCCTTACTTTCAGTTAATGTGGTACATCTCTTCAGTAAGGGCTTCATTTGAGCCTGAAGTCTGGTTCTTTGAGAATTCCATTGAATAAGTGTACAGTGGTGACCTGGTAGATACTGCGTAACTCTAGCAGTCATGGAATCGGAGGATGGGTCCTCTGGTTAGAGAACAGGAAGCAGAGAATAAGAATAAATAGACAGTCCTTGTAGTGGATGTGTCAGGTGTATAAGACCTCACAGGTATCTGCATAGGGACTGGATTTTTTTTTTTAATGGTTCATAAATGATTTGGAGTTAGAAGTGAGCAGTGAGGTGGCCATGTTTGCTGATGGCAATGAGATTGCAAGGAAAGAGCAACCCAAATGATCACTGGGTCACAGCAACTCACCTGGGAGGAAATGATACCGTGTTTGGGGATTTTTAGTTTAGAAAAGGGTGAGTAACGAGCAATATGAGAGAGGTGTTCACAAATATTTATGATGTGGAGATAGTGGATAGAGATGTGTTTTCCCCTTTCCCATGGTACTCAAACAAAATGAAGCAAGGTTCAGGCAGACAAAAGGAAGTCATTCTTCACACAGGGCATACTGAAGCGACGGAATTCACTGCCACAATATGTGGTGATGATTTTAAAAGGGGATGAGACCAATTCATGGAGGGCAGGCCTATCAGTGGCTACAATACATGATGCCTCTAAAGAACAGTTATGGGGAAACAACCAGAGGGAGAGGGCTATTGGCCTTGTCTGCTGCTTATGTACTTTTGATTGGCATCTGGTTCACCACTTTGTGAAATGAGGTGCCTAAGTATATAGGCCAGGAGTCAGCAAAGTGGTGGGCCGTAGTGTGTGTGTGCATGCGCACACACGCATGTGCAAAGACTATTTCCGGGGCTCCTTCTGGCGCGGAGGAGGCATCTGCAGCTTCCCATTGGCTGCAGGAGTTTCCTGTAGCCAATGGGAAGCCGGCCAGCGTCGTGGATGGTGGTCCCTGCTCTGCTCCGCGCCGGTTTAGCGCGGCGCACTGGAGCCAACCAAGCAGGCAGCAGGGGTCCCTTAGGGGGCGGCGGGGGTCCATGGGCCAGTTAAACAACCCCCATGGGCCACTTGTGGCCCATGGGCCTTAGGTTGCCGACCTCTGATATAGGCCTTTGGCCAGACTCCACAGTGCTGCTTTTGCAACTGAAGCCTAACATGGTGCCATCTGGATGTTGCTAGACTACAACACCCATCATCCCTGACCCATCATGCTGGCTGGGACTGATGGAAGTTATAGTCCAACATCTGGAGGGCACCACACCAGCTAATATTAAAACCTAATTTGACTTCAGGAAAAGGAATAAGCACCCATGAGTTGAGCATGCAGACAACCTTCTAGCTTTTCTGATAGATCTTCTCAAGCTGGCCTAGGATCCTAACATCTCTTTCTTTACATGTAAAGAAAGGGTGTGAAGCTCTGTTCTACAGGGTGGCTGGTATGTCTTTCAGAAGAGAGGGTGGGAAACAGTGCAGAAATCACGTCTCTAATGTAAGATATTCACAGTTGCAGAGTAAGCCCTTTCCTTCTTATCCCCCCCCCCGACTTTTCCCCCTGTAGTATGAGACAATGTGTAATTTCTAGGTGGGTTAATAGCCATGGATATTAAAGGTAAAACTGGGGCCTCCACAGCCTGTGTGAAGCTTGGGCACGTGGTCTTCAGCATGCATCCATCTATGCTCATATGCACACATGCATCCTGGTCATTTGGTTGATGAAGAAGTGAAGTCCAGAAGTAGAGGTGGGGTCTTCCTCTGTCATTGCAAGTCGAATCTGTTGCTATTGTCAAATGAATGGAAAGCAGCAATACTTTAATTGCTAGATCAATTAGTGAAAGCTTCCATTCCTTCAGTGGGACCCACTTTTAATTGGAGAGGACTCATTTTTTAAAAAAAGCAGGGCTGCTAGTTCTGTGGGCTTTTTTGATTTGTGGTATGTTGCTGAAATGGATAAGAGGTCTTTTTCTAAAAGGAATGGGAGATATTGTTAAAATGTGCCTGCAATACCGAGATTTCAATAATAGGCAAATATATTTAAATTGGTCATAAGGTTGCCAGCTGCAATTAAAAGACACACACTCAGAACCAATACTAAACTCTTCGCGTTGCTGAGGGCAGTTGTACAAGCCGTCACTCCCCTCTCCACAGCTACCTGTATCCTGGAAGTCTTGATCTCCTACTTCTCTGACCTTTCCACCTTTCCAGTTTTATGGCCACGGAGGTGTTTCTCAAGGCTAGACATTTGCTTTTCCTCAAAACTAATAATCTATCCCACGGGCGTAGCCAGGATTTTTGTTAAGTGGGGAGGCAGGCCTTTTGCTGGGGTGGAGCAGAACTGCAATTAGCTATGTATTTTTATTGATTTTTTATTGATTGGGGGGCAGCTGCCCACCAGCCCCCTTCCTCCCTTGGCTATGCACATGATTTACCCATTTACTAGGAGCAAGCTACAATGAAACCAGTGCTCAAATAAAAACTCATGGAATCGGGCTGTTGCTGCCTTGGTTGGGCGCTACCAGCCCATCTCCTTTTGCTTTCCTGGTGCAGGGTCCAGCCAGTACCAGTGAGTCATGTGTTGCGGGGGGCTGGACTAGATGACCCTTTGGGACACCTTCCTACTCTACAATTCTGTGATCCCTCAGCATAACTCTTCCTCGAGAATCATTATTTCTCCCTCCCCTCTCCTTTCTTCCCCTCCCCAAAGCCCATCTCTCGATCTGTCTGTCTCATTGCATCTCTCCCTCCCCCACTCTCCCCTCCTTCTCTCTCTCCCCTTCCTCATTACCTGTCTGTCTCTCATTACCGTACTTCTCTCTCTCTCTCTCCCCCTCTCTCTCTCCCCCTCCCCGTTTCTCAATTTTGTCTGCTAGAACTTCCTCAGTCAGCTGCAATTCAGACCCAGTCACGCGCGCTAAAGCCCCTTCCAGCTCCGGGGATCTGCCTCATAGTCGCTTTCCCCTCCCCACCAAAAAAAGTTTCTTTCCTGGGAACATTCCTTCAACTTCGAATCAGCACCTTCTTTATCCCCCCATTTTGCCATTGCAGAGCCAAATCGAAAAACGGGGGCAGATCGTTGCGAGAGAGGCTAGAAAAAATCGGCTTGAATTTGCCAGCCGGCCGGCGCAAAGCGGCAAATGTCACCTTACTCACCTCCCTGGTGGAAGGTAAGCAGATGCGGCCCGCGCGGATCCCCCCCGCGGCGCCCCCGGGCGGCTCTCGAGGGCGGGGGAGCGGGGACATTTCGCACGCGGCTCGTGCATTGAGTGGAAATCGTTGCCGGGATAGCACCGAAGCTCCGGCACGCAGGAAGCAGGAGTGCTGAATAAAGAACAAAGACCTCAAGCGTCATGAAGCTGGGCCCATATCTCCGCTCTGTGGCGCGTGTAGATCTCGCCATCCGAAATGGCTTGACTTCAGCCTGTGCTTCGGAGTGAGTCCCACTGAGGGCAGCGAGATGTGCTTTGGAATCAGCACGCCTCTGATCGGACCAGCCTAGGGGTCACAACCGAATTCATCCCAAGAGGTGTTGGGAACTGGCATTGAGATGCTTCTGAAAAGCAACTGTGCAGACCCAAGAACAGTAAATTAATATACCAAGAGGTGCTGTGTGAACGTTTGAGTTAAGCAGCATCTCTTCCTTGGGATGGAGGAGAATATAAAAATAGAAATTTTAAACATGGGTGGATTTTTTTTGGAGGGGAGGGTGGGGGAAGGTTGGCTGCTTGCATTGTGAAGGTAATACCAATGGAACTCCATTGATGCTAGTGGGAGCTTTCTATTGCAATTGCGCTCTCTCTCTCTCTCTCTCTGTGTGTGTGTTTGTAGGAGTATTTTTCCAGGGTTGCAGAGGAGAAAGGGGAGTTGCTGCTAGATTCCAAACTAAGCTCCCAATCCTATGCATATTTACTTGCAAGTAATCCCTTCAGTGTTCAGCGGCTGGGCCCCAGTCAATATGGATAGATCTGTGCTTTGTGGAGAATTTAGTTCTGGGTTATAGAGAGGCATGCTGGCTCAGAGAAGAATTGAAGGCTTCCCCTTGACAAATACTTGTATCTGACACTAATAAGGATTCACAGAATTCTTTCAAAAGCAGAATTAAAAAAACACCACTGGGTATCATTAGTATACTATATGTAATTATTGACTTGAGGGTTCCAAAATCTGGTTATTTGAATGTGATTAAGCTGTAAACCTGAATGAAGCCATTAGAAAAGTCAGCATAAAAGTTCAGGAATAAAGGCATTGGTACCAGAGGCCTTTGCTAGTTACTTGACAAAATTCTGCTTCTGTTTGGATCTGCAAGATATCACTCAATTTCCTGGTTCCTAAGTTATTGTTAAAATAATGATGATGATGAAGGTCCATTTCAGGAGAGACATTTAATGAGAAGTGAAGATATTTTGAAGTTTATAAAGTAAATAGGAAATGATCACAGAAAATGGAGAGGAGAGGGATGGGCTGGTTGCTGAGGAAAGCAGCCCAAAGGTCCCTTAAAGTTGAGATGGACAGCAAACTTGCACATAATAAACTGCTGATACTGTATGATTACAGTTCATCATGCATTACTCAGGTGTCATTTCTGTGTTGGACCACGATGTAAGAGTATAACTCCACCCAAACCCTATTCAAGTGCTTCAGGAATTCTCAAAGTTAACAGGGAACTAGAACTGTGCATGCAACTATTAGAGTGAGATGCATTTGTGTTTGTGAATATCGGAGTGAGATGCATTACAAAATATACAAAATTGTTGCTGAGCAAGCCAAACAGTTTCCCTTAAAGAACTATCTCTTGGCCTATCCTACTGAATTAGCAGCTGCTTCAGCAATATCCCACTCTCTTCCACTGCTCTTCCATTTTATTGCCTGTGGCAAAAATGTTTCATTCATCACTGTTCAGGATTCACAAGGGGCAGGGAGTCTGGTCTTTATCTTGTAAGTTTCATAAGGAGAATTAAACATCCATGGTGAATGGAGATTTGATGAAGGTCATCTTTCTCTCCCACTTCCTTTCCTTTTCAAAATAATGTGTCATTAGGATTATTAGACATATTTGTTTTTATAGGTAACAGTCTCTGGGGTTGCCTTGATCCTCCTCCTCCTCCTCCTCCTCCTCCTCCTCCTCCTCCCCCTCCTCCACTAGGTTTAAACTACAGTGTGGTATCAGTAATCAGAAAAGGGGCAGGTATTTAAATTTTACAATAACTTATTTTGTAATATTATAATTACCCCCAGTACCATAGCTATAATCCACACTGACTGTGGTTGGACTTAAGGATTGTTTGTAAAACAGAACATTCCCAATTAAATGATGGTATTTTGATTAGGACAGCATTGTGCAGATGTTGTAAAGCTTGCATCCATGAGTAGCAACAAATCCACTATAAATTCCCATGTCAACAAGCCCTTACTGTTCCTGAATACATGTACACAGAATTTTATCCTACATGCTACATTTTGAGGGAGATGTAGTGAGTGAAGGTATCTATTTTTTATTTTTCAGTGGCAAAGGGATAAATTTCAGTGGGATGCAAGCACCAATTGATGAAGTACATGATGTTTTACACTGGAACACAGTCAAAAATATCAAAATACAAAATGAGAACACAAAATACATAACAAGCAACAACAACAGAATGTATACATGTGTTGACTGTCTGCTGTTGTATTTTTTGGAAGCTTGTTTAGGGGTTCAGTTCTGTTTAGGAACCCAGCCTGAGACTTGCACTCTGCTTCCTTAGGGTAGGGCTCACTCATGTTAACAGGGTGCTTTTGGACTTCGGTTGTGCATAAAAAGAATTGATGGTCCTCCACAGCCACATTTGAATGTAAATACACCCTTCACATCTCCCTCACCTAGGAGATATGGAGACTCTTGATGGACAGTTTTGGCATCCAGTTGAGCAAGGGAGTTGTGCAGGGAAATTTTCTAATATAACACTAGAGGAACAGGAGGTTTGGAGAACTTTGTACTATCCATTCCTGCATATCAACAGAATGCCCAAGTTCACTTGCAACAAGGGAGGAAAAATGCATGCTACAAATGTCAGAGGTACAGTCTTGTCCATTTTTCATGTTGTTCAGGACTGAGCATTTGTGTTTGGAGGCTAGACAAGACTTAGCTCAACTTGGAGCCCTAATATAATGCTAGCATCCAATGATCTAAAGCTCCTGAGTCCTTATTCTTTCTAACTGCAACTCAGTCTGTAACTTCTTACAATAGCATTACATTGCTTTGCATTTATGACAGGCTGGATGTCTTGAATGTTCTCCAAGTTGTGAATGTTAAGTGAGGATTTGCTCAATCAGTACCCAGGCCTTCTACCACAGGGGAAGAAGGAACTCCTTTCTTTGCTTGAATTTCTCTTCCAGCTCTACTTATTAGAGAACCTACAATGCTATGAGAGTCTAGAACACTGTTTTTCGCTTCCTGGACTCTGGCCTATTAAAAGAAGGTGTTACAACAAGTGTGCAAGCCTGTTTGCTTTTAATTGTTTGCCAATTAATTTTATGGGAAGGAGGGCAACGAAGGTAGAGAAAGCAGTCTGAAGAAAGTGTACACGAAGAGCTCAAAAATAACTCTTGGGAAAGAGAATAATAAAACCCAACTGTATTTTTTTCCAGCATTGCACTCCAAAGGTACAATTCAGTCAAAAGTAAGCGCTATAAAATTGGACTGCTCTCAATAGAAGAAATAAGTGTGCATGTCAATCTCTCCCATTGAAATAAATGGGGCTTCAAAGTGCTTAGCTGAACAGCTCTTTCCACAGTATTGCCAGCACAACCTTGGGGAGTAAAACTACTTCTTATCTCAGTCTTAGTGTAAGGCTGACCCCACTACTAAGTGATATCATTATTATGGCACTTAACAGTCACAGCTTCCTTCAAAGAATTCTGGGAACTGTAGATTTATTAGGAATCTTTAGATTCCCATCATAGAACACCTTTCAGGGGATGGAATAGTCGGGTTGGCCAGGGGCATGGACAACCCCCAGGCAAACGACAGGAATGTTTCCAGCCTGTCCCTCCCATCAGCGTGCAGCTCTAGGGAGTTCCGACAGCCTTCCCCGACGATTTATAGTGACTCAAGTCTTGGAGACATTGAGCACACATCCAGAGTCCAGCAGAGATAAAACGCAGTCAGAGCTAGGCTGAGGTTGTGAGCACGAAGCTGCTTTATTAAGCATAAGGCAGAACAAAATTAAACATGTCTCCTCTCTCTGGTCTTCCTCGGAGAGAAGGCAGAAGTGAAAGCAAAAACAAATGGAAACAGAGTACAAAACAGTAAAACATCCGCTCCCGTGATTCCAGCAGTCGATGCTGGAATGCATAACACAGACATGTGATGAACCAATCCTAAACAATATCTGCAAAGTGAGAGGAATAGAAACCCAACAGGAATAACTAATTCAGGTTTGCTGTGTAGACATGCACAATGTGCATTTCCCTGTTTGTGTGATTCAACCTGCTTGCTAACAGCTTCAGCCAGCATCTAGTTGAGCTGATGTGGTTATATTGGTTACCCTTTCATAGCCCAGGTCGCAGACATTTAATGCTGTAGAACTCTACTACGTTCAGTATGACCAATGGCTTAATGCAATGCTAAGGATGAAGGTGCAGGACATCCGCAAATGACTGAAGAAGAAGATCGTGATAACTGAAAAGTTAGTTTTTGGTCTGACAGATCTAAGGATCTGACTATATGCCAGTCTCATTCAGTTAGTATTCACTTGGCTAAGAAGGATTGTGTCAATGTGGTTGAGCTGTGATGATCAAAGCTGCTCATCTTTCCCCAGGAGAAGCTGTACATTTAGCTCGGGATTTTGGATACATCTGTGAAACTGAGTTCCCAGCCAAAGCTGTTTCTGAGTACCTGAATAGACAGCACACAGACCCTACTGATCTCCACTCCAGGAAGAATATGCTGCTTGCCACAAAGTGAGTAGGAATAACCCTATAATATACTTTGCTTTCAACATTCTGGCCCTGAAACTGATAGCTTCATGTTGATACTTTAGCAGGTTGTTTTTGTGGGATCAGTAGATCTTAAATTACAAAACAGATCACACTGTCACAACTTTTGCTCCCTGTGGATTTTATCCCCTTGGTATAATTTTCAGATTAACAGATACGTTGTGGTAGTGTTCACATATCAAGCTCAGTTCAGATTTGCCTACTGCTGGGTTATTTATTACATTTGATATATTGCTTTCCCTCCAAAGAGCTCCAAGTGGCTTATATATGGTATCCAGGAGGTCTCTCATTCAGGAAGCACCCAAGGTGGAGCAATATTTTATGTTACAGCAAACTAGTAGCGAAGTATCAGCATGAAGGCATCCCCTCCAAAACATGAAAGGTGGTGTGGCCAGGACTCTGGGAACATGGTCTCCCTTTCATTATTAGAATCCTACTGGGGTTGAAGGCTTGAATAGGAAGGCTCTTGTGACTTAATGAGCATGTGTATTGTATACAGTACCATGTGGGCTCATGAAGACATCTGAAGGCAGCCCAGTATTGGGAAGCTTTTAAAGTCTGCTGTTTTTTCATGTTCATTCATATTCTGTTGGAAGTCACTCAGAGTGGCTGGGGCAACCTGGTCAGATGAGCGGGATACAATCAACAAACACAAACAAACAAACAAACAAACAATTTTCTGTAATACAATCCAAATGTATTGTAGGGTTTTGTTTGCTTAGACATTCTTTTCCATTCTAAAGTGGTTGGCTGAGGTGCTCTAGTGTTGGCCGGGGGTGGAGGTGGAAGGAAGGCACAAAGCCAGTCAGAAGGGTCTCTATAGTAGCAATTGACTGACTTTCTCCGGTTCTAGATAGAAGCAGGGTTTTCACAAACCAGAGGAATTAAGGGAGAGTCAGAATGAACAAAAAGGTAAAACCGGAAAAGCAAAAAGCTGCAGAAGAGAGGTTCCTAAGACCAGGAGCACCCTATTAATGTGAAATAACCAGCAACATCTGTGCCTTCAGGTTTATAGGTTTATAGTATATTTGCATTATGGAAGCTATCAACATTCAAAACAGTTGGCCACAGGCTCATTGCAATGCATCAGACAACTTTTTCTGTTTGTGTTTTGTTTAAGAAGGTTGTGTGGATTGATTAAAGTAGCGTGGATAAAATTGTACATAGTGAGTTGCTGCATGCAGATGTGTCTCTCTTGAAGGCAGCTTCTGTGATTTGAAAAGATGTTTTCGTGTGGAAGCCATATTTTGGTTTTGGTTAGTGTTGTCTGCGGCTGTTAGAACTGACATTAAATCCAGCGTGTTTTTCCTTGACCCCCCCCTCCCCAGTTCTGATCTTTAGCGTATTTACTTTAGCGTATTTACTTTGACTTCAGGGGAGATAATATATGATATACACAAAACTTGAAAGGTCCAGATGTGAAGCCCTTTCAACTGGATAGCTCAGTTGGTTAGATGGTGGTGCAGGTTCAAGCAGGGGGTTGGACTAGATGATCCTCAGGGTCCCTACCAACTCAACAATTCTATGATTCTACCCCCAAGTGCTGTATACCGTAAATGTTTACCTTCTGAGGACTTGACTTTGTGAATCGACACAGTTGGTCTTCCATATTTAACAATCAATTTCAGGCAACACAACATTTTGACAGATGGTATCATTTCCCGTTCATCCCACCCCCAGAAATACATGGAAAACCAATTCCAGTGGGCCTTCCCCACACATGCTTATGAAATCACTTCCAAAAGTCATACTATTTACCCCTGAATTCTCAATGGGTGTTAAATACAGTATTCTCTGTGCTAATTTGCAATTTCTTTAACAACCCACCTGTACTTCCGTATTCCTTGGGCTCTAATAATTCAAATCTTCAATTCTGTGAGTGGATTTATCTCTACAGTGGTTGTGTAGCTGTTGCTTTGCTTAATTTCCCCCTCCTGATGTGGTCCAAAATAACAAAAAAAAAATCAATTAATATTTTTGCAATAGCTTCAATGAGATTTGATTCCTGTGCTTCCAAATTTCTTCCGAGTGACTCTGCTGTTATCTGCATGTGTACATTTTCCCATTTCATCTGTGCTCAGATATAGTTAATTCAGGATGGTGTTGCACATTCTTGCTGTTTCATCCTGTTCTGTTTGGTTGCGCAGATCTGTCCACCTGGAGATGTGTGTCACTTGCTTCTTTGGAATTGTGATACTGTTAACTGGGTGGGCCTAGTAGTTGTGTGTTGTTGTTTAGTCGTTTAGTCGTGTCCAACTCTTTGTGGCCCCATGGACCAGAGCACGCCAGGCACTTCTGTCTTCCACTGCCTCCCGCAGTGGAAGACAGTAGTTGTGTAGCCATGGTGAAAGCGATTGTGTGAGGGCTAGACACAGTCCTTTTCCTGTGGTGAAAAAACTAAGGACTGACTGTTTCTGTATCAATGCGTTAGTCACTTGCTAGTGGCCTCTTCTCTTGCTGTTCTAGAAATATGTGTGGGCAAGACGAAAGATGCCAAAATGTTGCTTTCTTGTCTGATTGATATTTGGGTTAGAAGGAAACAAATAATTGGCCAGACACAGTTTCTGCATCCAGGCATTGTCAGATCCATGTGGATGGGGGATAAAAGTTGAAGATGGTGCCAGCCATGAGTTTTGTGTATAGGGTTCCTACAGTGGTTACTTCCTACAATGGTGGGGAAGCTGTGGCCCTCCAAATGTTGGACTCAAGCTTCCATGAGTCCCTGCTAGAATGGCCAATGGTTGGGGATCATGGGAGACATAGTCCAGCAACATCTAGAGGGTTACAAGTTCCCCAGCTGTGCTCTAGAAACTATGCTGCACTCAGAGCAACTGCTCTAGAAAACCCACGGCAATGCGAATACCAGGGACGTCCCTTCTTGTCACTGTAAGAGGCTGAGCTGATGACATTAAGGTCCAGGTGCAGTATAGTGTGGACAAGGATGTGTCCTAAGCTTGCCTTCTGGGGTTTTGGCCTTGATGAAGGAGCTGGCATTGGAAGTGAAATACACCATTCAGCTCACACTTATTGCATGGCTGCAAGGTTGCTTAATGGTGTGGGAGGAAACGTCAGTTTAGAAATGTCAGTTGTGATGGATCAAATGGTAAAACTGCATTACCATTCTCATGCCAACAGATGAAATGCACTCGTTGCATTAATTTTTGCAAAATTGGTTTGCCAAAATTGGCATAACGTGACTCCCTTCTTTCTCAACCCATCTTTCCCTATGAAGGGTGACCTTGGGCCTAACCCCCTGTCAGCAGAAAATTCTTAAGTTGATTTCCATAGGATTCTTGGCTATCCATCCAAGATGACAAAAAATAAATTTCACCCCACGCCTTCCAATGTTTACTGTTAATCATCCATATATCTGACACTTTTACAGCAGCAGCTTGGGGGGCAGCAGGGGGGTGGAATATTAAATCTGCTGCTATATTTAGATGTCTCTCTCTAGCTCATTGAAACTTTTACAATAGCTTTTCTATTTGTTTGATTTATGCCTCCCTTTGGCTCCTGTGCCATATTGTTTGGTGTTTTATGGCAGGCTTAGGCCTTTGGTAGTGTAGGGCTGCCTGTTTCCCCCCCACACGTTCTTTCTTGCAGGCAGGCCTCAAACAGATCTCATTTATTTCGTGCCCTAGGATGTGGCTTTCTCCGTTGACAGCGTAATTTAAAGAAATATATGGATGGCTGAAAAATCATTTGCTCAAATTTGTCCAGATGTTTTTTAGACGTGATTGGAATTTGATTGCCCTTTTCCGCAGGGTCAAAAGATATTAATGTCCCAGAACTTTAATTGCTCACAGAGCCTTTGCTCTTTGAAGATGGAAAAATATTTGGCCTGCAAATTTGACATTTCTACTTTTTTCTCCTTTTGTTTCCTAATGGATAAGACGCACATACAAGAACTTTTTCCATCATCTGAAACATTTGATCTGCTTTCAGTTTCAGGACTGCACAGCTGGACCATCCTATTATAATATGGCTCTGTGCCTAACATAACTACCTGACTACTTCACACCATTTATGTCTCATTGTGAACTCTTATCTCATTTGTCATGAATTTGGGGCAAATGTTTTTTGTTTAATCATACAACATTTCTTGGCTTAGCAACGCTAAGAAATTTGTGTTAGCAACAGACTTTTTTGTGAATGGCTGCTGTCAATTACCACAATCTGTATTTTCTGCATTTCCCCCCTTTTGACATGAATGTTTACAGTTCCACTCCACCACTCCACTTGTGTATGTATACTTCAGGGTAACCCTTCATGCATCTGGTGAAGTGGACTGGTGCCCATAAAACCTTTTCCCGTGATGAATTTATTAGTTTTAAAGTGCCACAAGACTTGCTGTTCATCTTGTTCTGTTTAGAAGGTCAATATGTATTCAGCACTCTTGCACCTTATTTCTAACCATTTGTATGATAAATAGATTTGGGTGAAATCCATGGGCTTTAAAGGATCATGGTGTGGGAATGTTAAGGAAGGTCGGAGAGGATATATTGTTTTGATATTATCCCTCCTCACTCACACTAGTGAGTAAACAGCAGAGCACATTCCCTTTGCAACTTATTGGAAGCAAATTGATGATTCGTTAGAATCCTTTAATTAAGCACTCCAGTCTGGTTTGTCCAGTCTGGATTGTTCCTGGTAAGTTTCTCCTCTTAAAATAATAATAACACATCCCAGTCTTCTTTAAAAGTAAGAATAAAGTGTTACTCACATTCAGTTCACAGCAGTAATCCAAAGGCAGACTTTATCATGTGGTTACAGTGAAAAGAAGTCTGAGCTGCATATCAGACTTTCTGCTTGTGGGCTCCATCCTATGTGAAGGTTGAGCCATGCACTGGCTAAGAGCCAGAAGAGCAAAAGTCCAAGAGTAAGAGTAAGAGAGTACAAGTCCAAGAGAGAGATGGTTGCGTAGCCAGCCCTTTTATCTGGTCAGCTAGGGCCCTGCCCACCTGCCTGGTCACACACAGGGGAGGAGAATCCAGAGCAGGTATGACAGGAAGTCCTTCTTGTCTGGAGCCACATTCCTCTGTGTGTCCATTCCAGGCAACAGGAAAATATGGAACTTGACTGCTCTAGCAATAATACATCCCACACATGGTACCCTGCCTCAGTAAATAAGTTAGATGGGCTTTCATTCCAGATTGTAGATTGCATCCATTTGTCTGCTTTAATCAAACATGTGTCATATATTCGCTAGCTGCATTGCATTTAGAAAAAGGGTTTAACTTTACTTGTCACACACTTTGCTACTGTACCTGAAGTGGAGCTTTGTCAGTGGAATGTTAATGAGCAAAAAGGGCTGGTATTCATCCTCCAGGCCCCAATGTGGCCAAATAGTGGTGTATAGAAAGGCAAGGTTGTAAACATCTGTGTGCCTACCTATCTGCTAGTGGAGTCTTAGAAACAGGGGATGGAAACTAACGTTGTAATTTCCGCAGAGGTGAGGATTTTTTTCTCCTATATAACAAATAAATTAATAAATAAAATGTGCCCACCTTTCCATTAAAGGTATGGAAACGTAGCACTATAAATAATGTTTTTTCTTGAATGTTCTTTGGTGGTTTTGGCTTTGGAACAGCAAAATGATGACGGTTTTCAGAACATATATTACTACGGCAAATGCAGCAGACAGTCCAGTTTGATGAGGGATTTGTACTCTTGCCCCCCGCCTTGTCACCCCACATTTGCCATATTTTTATGGGGCTGCTTCCTATTATACCATAGAAGTCTTATACAATAGAAGAGCTTACCGTTCTGAACACGTTTAATTATCTTCCCATCATCTTGCCCATAACTGAACAATGAATAAAATATCCCCATGGTTTTAAAATCTTTTTTTCATCATGTGCTAAAGCATTCTTCCTGGTTTATCCTATTGTGGTTTTTGCTTTCATGCTCTATAGTGGTCTGTGGAGTAGCACATAATGTTCACCACACTGGACTTCAACTGTGTCCTGAGCTGTGTTGGGCATTGGGCCGCATCAGAGTTAGCACTGCTGTTTTACTTATTTGTGTGTGTTTAGTTTCTCAGAGACAGAAGAAAAATAGTTGGAGTAGGGAAGAGAGGGAAAGTAATGAAAGGTAGATGTGTAGTGTTACAAATGTAAAAGCAAAATGTAAATGTAAAAAGGAAATGTAAAAGTGTTTCCTGTCAACAGACTGTAACTGAAGCTCACCAGGGATCTCAGGTTGATGTACAGTGATGTTGGATATAAAACACCTGTCCCAAGACTCGGGGCCCTTAAAATAAAGTCTGAGCAAAGTTGTTGAAGCAGCAAAGGTTCATTAATTGCTTGCAAGGATGGGTGTCCAAAGCAGGCACACCCAAATTCAGCAAAACACAAGTTTATATCACCTTCCTTTAAGCGAAAAGTTCCGTCCCCTGTCCTCCACTGGGTTACAGCCTATCACAACCTCCTAATTAAAATACTAAAATCTCCTCCCCTGTTGACATCTTCCATTCCCCTGAATTCAGGGACCATTACCCTTAATTACTTTTGCCAAAATAAGGAAGCGTGTTCCTATGCTCTCACACATCTACCCAAGCAATAAAGCCACATCCCGACCATGCCTTAGGCATACACAAGTCCTACCCTGCTGAAGTGTCTAGATAAACCACATTCTAGCAGCAAGCCACCCTGTTTTCTGGCATTCTAACCCCAAGCACCCAAGCGAGTCTGCGGTTTTTTAGCTGTTGCAACCTTCTACCCAGGTGTTGCAACTGTTTGAGGCCTTCTGACCTTTTATGAAAAAGTGACATTTTCCTTTTCTTACAATTGACAATCTTATTTTCCTCTTCCGACAACCCTATGAGGTAGATTATTAGGCTGAGAATTCGTGAATTGTTCAGAAGAATTCATGGCTGAGCAACGTTTTGAATGAGGGTTCTTCACATGGCAAATCAATACTCCAGCAGCGGCAGTGCCACATTGTCTCTCCTAGCAAGACATCCTAGAGTACACCACTTGCATCACATCCCTCAAGAATACTTGTACCACTTGGGCTGCTTATTCATAAAACGTGCTCACAGGCCCACTGTGAAATGTGGGCTTGACAGAATGGGTACTGGTTATTTCTGCATTTGTCAAGGCCTTTGAAGATGTGCCCCCAAAGGCTAGGGCTCTTAATGTATTTATTTTTATGTGTTCATTTAGACTCTAGACTGTAGGTTGTAACAACAATGGTGAAGAATGACTGCAATTGTAAAACTAAACAAAATTTTCAGATTTCTACTGTGTGTGTGCACACACAGAAGACCTTTGGGGCTTGCTGTGGCAGGTGGCTTATTTGCGTGTTCAGACCCAGAGATCTCTCCCCTAAATAAAGTCACACTTGACTCAAATTTTAGTTTTGGTTTTTGGCAGAATTTAGGCCACAACTTTATTGATTACAGAAGGTGAGTGGTTGCATAGGCTCTGGTTCGACTAGCTCCCTGCACACTTGCAGGCAGCGCTGACCCAGGGCACCAGCATAGGGCAGCCAAGGGTGAACACCTGGGTAGGCGAAAAGCCGGGAACAGACTATGTTCACCACCCAGATGCCCCCCTGGACTCAGGCACGGGCACAACCCCCTCTCAGGGGTTGACCAAACCAGTTGAGTCCCTGGATTCCTTTAACGGAATACCCTTCTCATAGGGATGGCGAGAGCGTTCTCCCATCCCTATCACCTGAACCAGAGCCTATCCGCAACCTTACAAGTTGTGACGATTTGCTACGTGGCAGGCGAAAACCTAAATGGCACCAGCCAATCAGCCAAGTGGGAAAAATTCCTACTGTGTCCCTGTCCCAATGACAGATGACACACAACGGCATGGCAAGATCAATCGCAAAATTGCCCTGAAAGTAGGGAGAGGTGGGCGGGTGTTCTGAATGCACAAGCTGAAAGAGGAAGCTCTGGGTCACGTGCATAGATATATATAGGTCCCTCAATCTGTTTGGACTGTGCCCCATTGGCCAGATTGAACCCATCATCGAGGGACTTACCAATCGGGTGTTATGGCTGTCCAATCTCACTCACCCACAACACAGGAGTTTGGTCTCCAGGTCTCACCGCAACACATGCCCTCTTTTAGAGAGGACATGATTTATTGATTTTATACCACTTAATATATAAGAATATCTCTGTGGTGTACAGAAAATCAAAGCAAAAACATACAACTTAAGCATCAACAAATTTTACAATATAAAAATGTTACCTTGATACAAAATTACTAATATTATAAACCAATGTCATCTTCTCTCTCAGATTCCTGGCTCTCACCCTGGGCCCAAACAAACTCATATCTCTCCCTCAAAAATCTCACAAAGGGAAGGTTCCTAGAAACTGCTGCTGGCATTGCCTAGTCTTTTAGGCTTGTTTTTTATGGGCAGACCCAAAGTGGATGAAGCATCCTCAGGCTGCCCACAACCATATCCTTCTCAGCAGCCAGCTGTCCTCTCCACACCCAGTTCTAAGTACAGCAGCTTGATGAGTTTCCAAGGGTGGGAAAAGGATGCTTTCCCACTCACCGTTCTTTTTCCAGCCTTTCCCCTCTTCTCCTTCAGCTGCTTTTTAAACTAAGCTTATAAACTATGCAAATTACAATGCTTCTGAGTTCAATGGGAGATGAATAGCAATCTATGATTGCAGTTCTGAGGTTACAGGGAACCAGGCCTTCTCGGTAGTGGCAGCCGTCCTGTGGAACACCCTCCCACCAGATGTCAAAGAGAACAACAACTACCAGACTTTTAGAAGACATATGAAGGCAGCCCTGTTTAGGGAAGCTTTTAATGTTTGATGCATTACTGTATTTTAATATTTTGTTGGAAGCCACCCAGAGTGCCTGGGGAAGCCCAGCCAGATGGGCGGGGTATAAATAATAAATTATTATTATTACTATGCATGGCAGCGTGAGTCAGGGTATGGCGTCAAAAGAGAGTGTCAAAAGAGGTACATTCATTTAAATATACCTGTGTACTGAAAGCTCCTTAGACTTTGAAGCTTCAGTTCTAAAAATAAGAGAGGGTGCACACATACACACTCCAAGTGTATATCTGTTTGCTGCCTGCCTCCTTTTTTTCTCCTGGCATCACAGCAGATAATCATAAAGGGCCAACCAATAAACAGAACCACATAAAGGTCTGGTGAGACAGAATGGATCCCTGTGAGTTAGACCTGCTAGTGTTCAGCTTCTGTAACCTGTCACCCTCATGTGCTTCCTTGACTGTATGCCCAGAATGCCACACCTGGAGGCATGCCTGTGACAATTCTCCCCTCCCCTTTGAACTCTGTCTACCCCTAGAAGATATTTCATGTTAGGTCTTGCATTACTGGGTTGCCATGGAAGTAATTATAAATTACTACCTCCCATTATATTAGATCAGGCATGTCCAAAGTCCGTTTTGGGGGCCTAATCCGGCCCACTGGTCAGTTTAATCTGGCTCCCACAGGCAGTTCATTTCCGGGGCTCTAAAAAAAAAAAAAGTCAACAACTTTGGAGTAACATCCTAAAAAGTTTAACAACTTCAATCCTACTTCTTTGGTCGGCCCTCATGCATGTTCACTTCATCAAATCTGGCCCTCTTTGAAAAAAGTTTGGGCACCCCTGTGTTAGATTAACACAGAGAGAGCAACAAATCCCAAGCTCAGTGTGTGGATAAGCCCTGTTGTCCCACACAACAAACGTGGTGATGAGCCCATGTTTGGGTTTTACCACTTCTGACTGCAGGCCTAGGCTTCCTTCACCTTGGGCATTTCTGCTCACAAAGGGTTAGCTTGTCAGAAAGAAGGCTAAGTAGAATGGTTTGCTCCCTAGTTTCCGCACCACCAACAAATGCACAGAGGACAGTGGGATTCTGCAACTTGTTGCACTTAATGTGTAGTCCATGACCCTTGTGCTAATTTGATAATGCATTTTTGAAAAGGATGGGTTGGGAACAGCAATTAAAACAATTTGACTTGCTAAGACTTCTCTGCTGGCATGGTAACTCCAGTTGAGCAGAATGGATCAGGTATGTGATGTCATGCGAAGGAAGCATTGTGAGCTACTGCTCTGCTTCCCTAAGGTTGGTGTTTATTTCAGAGATATGTGGCTAGCTGCTTGGGTTCATTCCCTGGTCCTTCCCAGTTCAGCTGTGTGTGTGATATTTTGACTGGGACAGATTTGACCAGGAGACAGACTCCTTGCTTACTCCATTCTATGAGTTAGTTGATCTATAATGCCTATGTGGCAACCATTATACTTTTTTTTTTTTTTTGCAGACTTTGAATTTATTTCGGGCACCTCACCTCCTACCATGTGGTAGGTTAGCCTTCTTTTGCTCTGACTGCCCTGAAATTTGAATGAGAGATACCACTCAAGCAGTTTAGGAATGTTTTTATTGAATTAGGGAGGTTCACTGTTGCAGACTTTGAGAATCCCTTGCATTTTATGTTGTGAGATCTATGGAGGAAGGGAGGTATACAAAATTAAATAATAATCATTGTAATAGATAAGAGTAGCTGCTGTATTCAAACTGCTGCTCAGCCATGGGCATATTGGGTAAACTTGCACAAATCTGTGTTCCTGATCTGTAAAATAAAAACTATAGTGACTTCCCTCCCTGAGGGTTTGTTTCGATGATCAGTCACCCTGAAAATTCTTCTTCTTCTTCTTCTTCTTCTTCTTCTTCTTCTTCTTCTTCTTCTTCTTCTTCTTCTTCATCATCATGTGTTAAATCCATTGTAGCTTAGTACCATAACCACTGCTCAGCATGTATGTGCATGGCTTGCTTTCTCAATAAGTTTAAGAATTTTGAGGAGGGGAGGGATCATGTGTAAGGAACATATCAGTTCCAGTGCATGGCTTGATTTTTCTCACTAATGTTATCTTCAGATGCCTTTCCCGCAGTGCACTGCTATTCTGCTGGTGGCACACTGGAGATCAGATTGAACAGGCTATTTGAGGAGGGGAGGACTGGTGTGTGAGTGGTGTTGCCTTGAGGAAACTATTTGACGAAGTTTATTTTATTTAATCCATTTCATCACACACCCACACCCACACATCCAGTCTTTTGCTCTGGGGGCTTTTGGCCCCTTCTAGCAATGGATTCCCCTTCTAGCAGAAGCTCTGTGAAATGTACTGGAGTTGACACAGAGCTCTGGATCAAATGGTATAACTCCAGCACCTGCTAGAAAATGCTGCACATTTGAAAGTTCAGGTGAAATATTGGCAATGACACGTGTAATGATCACATACAATGCAAAAAGGGGGGAAAGAACAAGTCAGTGTTTTGAAATGACTATAAAATGCAGGTGTGTAAATCCTTCAGGATATGTCAGACAGAGGATAACTGCTGCAAGCAGAAAGCCAGCAGGCAATAGCTCTTTCCCCTTAGAACAAACAAGCCCCCGAGGACTGGTGTAGCGGAGTGGACTGCGTGTGGGCATGGAAAGGTCCTGGTTCAGACCCCACAAGGAATCCTGGGCTTAGCAATTTCACTTGTTTATTTGTTGATATTATTGTATGGTTGGATGTTTAAGATGTAAGGCACCTTGGAAAGCCAGCTTATACATGTTTCTTTAAACCCAATCAGTTCCCTGGTATGCATGAGGCTCACTGTGGGTGGTGGACAGTCCTGGATCTCCTGCCTTTTAATAGAGCCATTGAGTCTCCCACAATCTTAATTTGCCCAGAGACCCTTGGTTTAATATAAGCAGCAGTTTTTGCTAACAAACTGCAGGTGGGGTGTAGCAGGCCCAGGACATCCTTTCTTCACCCCACAGTTTACAGTAAGCCCTGACAGCAAGTTTTTATTGTACTTTTATTTAATCTTTATTTGTATTAATAAGCTGTTTGCTTCTTTGGTGGACTTTGGACCAAAATGTGGCCCTCTGCATGTCTGCCTATATGTACCTCTATAGTATACATATAAATACATATGTACCGTAGGTGTTATGTCTATGCCATTGAATGCCAGTAGCCAGAAAACACAGGTGGAGAGAGTACTGTTGTGCTGAGGTCCTGCTTTAAGTCTTCCCAGGGACATCTGGTTGACCATGGTAAGAACAGGATGCTGGGCTAGATGGACTTTTGCCTGGTCCAGGAGGGCTTTTTCTTGTATATTCTATGGCAGGGGTGTCCAACAGGCCGGCTGCGATCTACCTGTCAATGGCGTGATGTACCTGGTCGATACTGGTTGATCGCAGGACCCTGATTGTCCTCCAAAGAAAGCTCAACAACTCCGGTCAATCCAATGGGTAGATCACTGCCAGTTTATTTATAGTGGGAGTAGATCACAGTCTCTTGGAAGTTGGACACGCCTGTTCTATGGAGTCTAAATATATAAATTATAAATATATAAATTAACGCGTGCTGCTTGCATCATGGGCCTCTGCCCAGAGCCATATTTTAAGCAGTTAATAAGGCCCCTGTCAGTCTCTCAACCTGGATTGTTTGAGGTTAAAATAGGACTCTCCAGCTCCTGAGCTGCTTGGTGGAAGAACATTTCCCTTACATGTTGAGAATTATTTTTATAATTGTAAGGTTGTGCTAAACATGTCTTACAAAGTGTTGAAAATGAAATGGTCTGCTCCTGACCAACCTTGGCTCTTGCCGTCTGCTCTTTGTCTTCCTCCTCTGCAGGCAACTTTGTAAAGAATTTACGGATCTCTTGGCCCAGGACAGGACACCCATTGGCAATAGCAGGCCCAGCCCCATTTTGGAACCTGGGATTCAGAGCTGCTTGACTCACTTCAGCCTCATCACTCATGGCTTTGGGTCCCCAGCCATATGCGCTGCCCTGACTGCTCTCCAGAACTACCTGACTGAAGCTCTCAAAGGCATGGACAAGATGTTCTTGAACAACAACTCTGCTAACAGGCACACTTCTGGGGAAGGACCAGGTAGTAAAACTGGAGACAAGGAAGAGAAGCACAGAAAATGAAAAAAAACAAAAACAAAAAACAAGGAAGCTAATGAAATTAGGGGAAAAATAAATAAAAGGAAAAGCAGAGAGAGAAATCTTTTTAAACAAACATTTTAATTTTAGCTTTAAAATATTGGATTGGGCTTTGGAAGAATTATACTAGGTAGGTCACACCCACATTTTATTTTATTTTAAAGGAAGTAAGGTCAGAGACGCACAATGGAAACAGGAACACAGAGGCTCAGTGGCTTTTGCAAAGGAACTTTTGAAGACAACTTCAAGGAATTTCCACTTCTGTTCTCCTGCAATCTTTTTGTGATAATTGGGGAGGGTGTGTGTGAAAAATGTCAATAATAGGTAAAAACAATCAATAACTTATTGGAAGAATCTTTTTGATAATGTTGATATGTTGGCCGAGATACATAGTCTGTTTCTGTATAATTGTTATTTTTCAAAAAAAAAAAGAAAAAAAGAAGTCTATCTAAAGTAGAAAAATCAAAAAAACTAAGGGATAGATTTATTTTATATGGGACTGTCCCATTCAGAGCAAAGTGTCCTGTTTTCAGCTCAGACCAACTGTAGCCCCCTGACTTGGGTGATGTCTTGCCATTGCCACTCTGTGTCATCAGAATGCCCAGGCCTAAGCTCTACCAATAGTCTCTGGCTTGCAGATTTCTTCACAGTGGGTTGAGGTAGCAGGAAATGAGAGCTCTGGGTCTGTTTAGACTAGAAACCATTATGGGGAAACCTAAAGCAGTGCATTTGCATCTAACAAGTTCACGTTCTGATGAAGTTAGAACTATTCTTACTTGGAAGAGTATTTCAAATAATGTTAGCTAAAAAGACAGTTATCGAGTGTCCCCATTTTCAATACAGACTACCTAAATTTCTGGGTTTACTGAAAACTAGATACTTTACATATTTATTCCTAAAATTCTGAAGCTGCAACTTTGCAAGTTTCACTGGCTGTTAGGATGTGTAAAGTTTGCATACAGGATCCAATGAGATTTTGATAACAAGGCGGTGAACTAACTTGGAATTAGGTGCTAACCTCCAGCATAACATTTTTTTCAAAATGGAGATGTACATGTGAAAAAATGTTATACAGGAATGCAAAAGCTCTGAACAGAAGAGGGGACGCATACTACATTCTCCTGCTTCTGGATTATTCTTTTTAAAACCAATATACACATTTTGCATTCATATATAACTTTTTTATGTATTTCTACTCCATGAAGGTCAAATGCTACATAGAACTGATCCTATGTTTGAAATCAATATGACCTATTTCCAAGTCCAGTTGCTGCAGTCTGACAATCCCTTGTAGATGCAGGACCTCGGATGTACACACAAATCTCTCCTGTTTGCAAGAGTTTCCTTTGCATTGCAATGAAACCACCTATCTCATTTGAGCAGATAGCTCAGTGGGCCCCACAAGAATTGTACATGGAGGTGTGCCACTGAAGTGAACAGGAGCTTCTTGTGTGCATTCAAGTGCAGAGAACTGGCTGTTCTAAGACTGGGAACAATATGCTTAAGACAGAGGTGCCAGTCTGCTAATTGCTACTCTGAATGGATATTGGCTAATTCTCAACAATTCAGTTTGCTCTTTTTAATATGTCTCAGACTGCTCTCTCTCTCTTTTTAAAGAAGTATTAGTAACAGGAATGTCTTGATGAGTATGTGATTTCCTTCTCAGGAGTATGTACCCTTTTTATTTTCTTCTGTTTCCCAAAGCTTTGCCCGCTTGGCTTATGAGCTTCTTCAAAGAGGACTAGAACTCCCTACACATTTCATCAGGTACAGAGATGAAAATCCACAATTCTGACACTTTTCTTTTCAAATCAAAGCCAGTTGTTTTGGAATTCCGCAGGTGTACTTCTTTAAAGAAGCTCAAAGGGAATAGATTAAGCAAGGCAAAGGCAGCTGAATGGGCAATGTCATATTGATAGGCAAATGCTAATTTATCCAATATATAGAAAAGTTTTGGGGAGGGCCAATAATATTTGATGCACAGAATAACACAGGTTTGCTAAGTGTCTTTAGAGGAGAAGGAGGGGACTGAAGGTAAAGAGGATTCTTGAGCATTTCCAGTAGCTTTGTTTAAGGAAGTCTCTTTTCCCCAGGTTATTAAATGAGTTTTGCAGTTCTTGCTTTAGAAAAAACAACATGTCTTGGGATGAGGGAAATCAACCAAATTCCAAGCATTTGCAGAAATTTAAGTGCATTACAGTATATTTTATAAATGAGATTTTAAAAAGCTCCCCCCTCCCTTGTTTGGAATACCTACTAAAGTTATACTTCAGTGAAAGAAGATGAATTTTACCTTGCATGTTATCAGCTTGGAAATACCTTGTTGACTTGATAATGGCTATGGTGTTCCATGCATTTTGAAAAATCATTTCCCTTTTGTCACAACAGCTTATGTCTATACATCATTTTGACTTAACTTACTGAATTCATGCTAGGAGATGAGAATAGGATAAACACATTACCATGGCTGTAACTTCCATTATTTTTGGTAGAACTTTGTTCTCCTTAAGCGAACACTTATGGATGGGGTCCATCTGTTTCACAGGGTAGTGTTTTACGTTTGGAATTCAGTTTTCAAAAGCAATTTGGGTCCTTGTAGTTTTTAATTTTAAAAATATGAAGGTTATTTCTCACAATGTAAACTTCAAGAGTACAAGAAGTGACCAGTGCCCCAATTGAAATGGCTGCACATGTCTGTTTCACCATGTGTATAAATATTCAACACATATTCAGCATATAGCAGAATGATGCATCCAACTGGAGTTCTGTACGGCATATACACACAGTGAAATATGCATGTGTAGTTGCTTGAAACATGAAGACGTACATTCTGAATTCATCACCTACTGTGTTCCAAACAGTATCATGCACAATGCAACTGCTGAATTACGTACACTGTGTTTTAGAACTGGTCCCTAAGATCTCATTTCCAACCTTTATAAACCATAAAGTACTTGAAATTAAGCCAATACTTTCCCATTGGATATTTCTGCCTGCACCATGAAGTAAACTGTGTGTTGTTATTTGTAATCAGACATATTCAGAAGGTGATTAACTTGGAGTACCTGTATATTTGATGTGATCAATTATCTAGGAAGCAGGTTTAATCAAAATGAGTAGAACTTCCTATGGGCCTTGGTCTAAATCTAAGTATTTCAGTTCAGCTGTGAGTGGAGCTTTACACACTGATCCTAAATGCACACCTGTATGCATGTGAATTTGCAATATTGCCAAGTTATGGTGCTGGTCCTCAAGTTGCTAATTTTAGAATGTCACTAGAACAAATTATGCAGGAGAGACTGAGCATAGTACTCTACAGCAGTATTGGAACCCAGACTGTCATACAATTCATGAAATGAGTTGATTAATCATATGAGTTTTAGTTGATTCATTGATTAAATGTTGGCCAAAACAATTGCCATGAAGCAAGAAGCATAGGTTTGCTTTTAGATAGTGGACACCATCTTATCTGATGCATTTTCTCCTATTTGAGAGAAAAGCAAGAATTAAGATGATGTTTAATATGGTGTATTGTTTTAATACTTTCCAAAGAATCAGGAAACGTTTAAAATATTAATTGATTAAATTCAGGCCCCCTAGTTGGAACTACTATCAGTCGGGCTGCTTTAGTTCAGTAACTTCGGGCACATCCAACCAAAGTTGGTCCCATTTAGTTTTGGGGAGAATCAAGCATATGTTTAACTTGTTCCTATTGAAATCAATGGGACTGTAATGTGCTTAACGTTGACTAAACCTCACCCCATACTTTTTTGCTTCCTATATTTCTGAAATCTACATTCTGTCTGTGTCTTTTGTACACTGTACCATCTCAAAAGAGGGAGGAAGAAAGTAAATGTACCTTTATTTGCAGTTGTTACCCTAAAGGGCACTTTTGAGGAGCTGAAGACAGCTGCGATAGTAATTAATGCTTTCCGGTTCTCATATTTGTTAGCTCTGACTCCGTACACTATCTTGGACAATTTATAAATGTAACAAAATCACCTTTATGCATCACAAGAATAATTTACTATGTTTCAGTCCACTGATCTGAACATGCCTTGCACAAGAAAGAACCCAAATTTAATATCTTTTAAAAGGCCACCTGAAGAAATATTTCAGTGACTAAAAATAAAATAAAATCTAGGATAACTATTAACACTGAACTGAGGGAAACATTGTGGCACAAAAAGCAGAAAATCTACAAAGTTAAATGAGGAGATGTTTTGTCCTAATTGTAAATAGGGAGCAAAATCTTTCTAGTTTATACCGCAGACATGTTCAGCCTCCAAACTTAAACTTGCAAACTTTGTGGACAACAATGCAAGGAACTCTAAGAGAGATGTTATACAGAAGTCTTAGCTCTCTTCAAAACCGTATCAACCAAGTAAATTTTTTTCTTTTTCTTAATCAGCAGCCACTTGTAGTCAAACTGTCCTTAGGATGTAGGTACTGTGGTGTCCCCTCCAGATGCTGTTGGACTGCAACTCCCATCAGTCCTGATCATTGGCCATGTGGAGTAGGGCTGGTTGGTTTAGTAGTCTAGCCACAGCTGGGAGGCACCATGTTGGCTGCTCATTGGTTACAACACATCACAAGGCGGAAGCAAATCTCAGGGTTCTCCTGCCTCCTTTCATTTGTCATTTTCCCCCAGTTAAAGCATCTGTGTTTACAAATTCTTCCTTGGCATTGACACTAGAATGGAGCTTAGAATCCTAAAATCATGGAGCAGTGTGCACATGCTGACCTAAAACCATAGGGCTGGGGTTGCCAACATGGCACAGAAGTGCCCTTAAGAATAGCCAGTGGCACTCACAAAGCCTCTGAGACCCCTCCCCCACTGACTGTCCTCTTTGTCATGAGGCGGCATAGCTTATTACCTCCCCCACCACCACCACTTGAAAAGCATACAGAGGAAGGAGGATGTTGGAAGAGCCTTAGCTCTTTCCTATTTCTGTTTCAGCTCCATGTGCTTCTTAAGGCTCAGGTCAACATGTGAACAAAAAGCCGAGCAACCAAGAAGGCAGGAGGGAAAGGAGAGCCATCTAGGAGACGGGGGCAGGAAAGGAGAATAGCCAGAGGGGATAAAGTGGTGCACCACAGGAGCTGGGAGAGAAAATGCCACAGCATGAAAGCATGGACCCTAGGCATGGATACTCATATTTTTACACCTTTCAGAATGTGTCCACAGCTGTGTTCTGTGATTTGGGTGTGTTTGTTGGCATCCTGTGTAAAAACCGCGAAGATCTGTGCCTTCAATGTTTTTGTAGTGCTGTGTAGTCTACCACTGTAAGCTTTCACTTCTTGACTGTGCTTTTTGTTGGGAAGGGGGTCCACAGGGTAAATTCATGGAAATTCAAAAGGCCCTTTAAAAATTCTGCTGGAACCAACTTTAACTCTGACCTGGAGAGACTGAGCCAGGGAGGGAAGGAGAGAAGCAGCCACAGAGGATGTTGCCCACAGAACTCTCTCAAAATCCCCAATGTGCCTGTGGACCCAAAAAGCTTGGTGATGCCTGCCCATAGGGGCAATTCTGAGCATTGCTCCATTTAACTCACTACTGTCTACAGCAGCTTTCCCAAAACTGGTGCCCTCCAGCTGTTGTTGAACTATAATTCACATCAGTCCTCATCGTCAGCCATACTGGCTGGGGCTGATGGAGAGTGGAGTCCCACAACATTTGAAGGACACTAGGTGAGGCAATACTGAACTGTACGGACTGGCAATCTCCAGGGCTTCAGACAGGATTCTTTCCCAGCCTTCGTGAAGATGACTGGAATGGAACCTGGGACCTTTTGCGTGCACCCAGCATGCACTACCAGTGAGCTACATCTCTTCCCTACACTTTATGATAGTTTTATTCCTTATTTCTCAAGTTGTCTCTGCTGCTAGAAGCTGATAATCTGACTCCTCTTTCTCTAAAAGTTATGTATGTTGTTTTTCCTCAAAGAAACCATATTTATCCAGTTTCATAGATACCTTGAGTATGTGGAGAGTCTATATAGTACCAGAAATTTAAAGGGTCACATTATATATACCCTGGCCTGGCTTGCTGCAGCAGCAGCATTTTGAAATAATGACCATCTACATACCTGGGGGTAAATGGCTGCCATCTTAAAGTCATTCATGAATAAATTCCATTGGTCTAAATGAGATTTATTCATGGATAAATGATAACTCTTGGTACTTTTTTATTAAAAAAACAAGCAAAAAAACCAACAACCCATGAAGTGAATTAAGCATCTCCAATCTCTGCAAATAACATGGCACCTAAGCACAGCCTTTCCAGTTCTGCTGACCACCTAAAAGGATTTACATAGCACCACCAATTCTTGGGTCTTGCTTCCTACATTTCAAGGGATGTTGCTAAACTATTCATTTGGGTACCTCCATAAATTGCATTTATGGCATCTAGTGGTGGTGGAGGAGGAGCATAAGAAGTTGCCTCTTCCACTATCGTCCAGGCAGCTGGAAAAACTTGAACATTTTCATTTTAGTGTGGAGAACCTAACTTTGATTGCCAGCAACGTCCACCAAAACATTAAGTTCTAGACAGGGATGCCAACTGAGCAGAACCCCCCCCCAAAAAAACACACAAAAAACTACTCTGGCCTGCTTGTGAACCTGTAACAGTCACCTGGTATGCAGGAATGAGTAGAAGTGTGAGAAGATGAAACATATCGCTTATTAATTCTCACATATTAAGTTGCTACTAAAGGCACAAGTACTAGGGCTGGTACAAAAGCTGGCAACCCTAATCCCAGATAATGATTTCTACTTAAAAGTAATGGAATTAAAAGCTATGATTTACACACACACACTCTGTGGGGATGGCTGGTAGTAGCAGATAGCAACAGAAAACCTTGCTGAATTTGTATACAACTTTTTTAATGGCAGAGCTCCTGTGCCTGTTGATTAATGGAAATCCAGAATGGGAAGTTTTCCCTTTGCTGCAGCTGCCTGCTGGGGATACTTTACCTGCTCAATTTATACCTGCCTCTATCATTAATGGGGCTATTAAAGGAAGGGGTGGGGAGAGCTGACCAGGTAAGCTTCTTATAAATTTTCATATTTATTCAGGGCCTGTAGACACCTACGTTTCTCATGAAGTGTACACCTAAGAAACAGGTTTTGCCCCTCACTGGAGAGCCAGAGTTAATCTCAGTGGCAAAATTGGTTTTATTGTTGAGTAACAGGTAAAATGGCTCCTAGTTTCCAAAACTTGAAAGTGCTGCATAACTATTAATAGTGCAATCTTACACATGTCTGCTAAGAAGTAAGTTGCACTGAGCTCAATGGGACTTGATCCCAGTTACACATGTATAGGATTGCAGCCAAAATTACCATATATATATATATATGCCATTTTAGGCTTACGCTCCATGCATTTGACAAAGTGAAATTTAGCCCATGAAAGCTCATGCCATTAAAAGAAAGTTGGCCTTTAGGATGCCACAAGATCCTTCATTGTTTTTGCAACTCAGTAGAGGACACTTTTGCTGTCACTGCTGGGAAAAGCTGTGCTGGTTGGGTTTTTGCCAGTTATACAACTGTCAAATGTACAAAGACTCCATACTATGGGAAAACCCTAGTGATCAAGATTGCCCTGCTGTCATATTGGAAGCAAATGGATAAATTGTGCCTTTTTAAACAATGAGAAGTAAGGTTGTACTGTTACTTTTGCATCCAGTCCTAAACACCTTTCACCTGGGAGGGATTTGGTTTAAATAAAAATTCATTTCAAGGCTATGCATTTAGGATCATGATGTGCTCGTGGACAGTAGTGCAATGATCCTGATCTTAATAATCAAACTACCTATTATATGCAGGCAGTGTGGTTTCTTACCCCCCACCCCGAACTTTAAAAAGAGAGAAAGAAAAGGGAAATCAGTAATCTTATGGGGAGGGGGTGAATAGAAAGGGACTATTTAACCCTTTGCTCTCATGACAATTTTCCATTCAAAATTGCCCCACTCAAGTGTCTCTCCAACGTTAATTAGGTAGTCTCCATTCTTCACTAGGGAAAGAAGTCAGAGAGGTAATTGCTTGCCCCAAGGCCAGAATGAAGGAAGTTGAACTTGCACCTCTCAACCTTTCTGCTTTCCTGCTCAGCCCTTTTCTCCTGCTCTTCTTGGCACCTTCCATTAATACATCTCTCTAGTGCCATCTTTGCCAATCTGGTGTTCTCCAGATGTTTTGAACTACAGATCTGGGCCACCACAGCCTGGGGCAGATGGAAGCCGAAGCCTGAATTATCTGGAGAGCACCAGTTGGGGAAGGGTGCTCTAGGAGGAGAGGCCTTGGAAATAGTTGGAGAAACAAAGAACCCTTGAAGAAGAAGTGCATATGCCCTTGGCAATGCCGTTTGCCCCTTTAGGAACAGAAACAAGAACAGCCAAGTGCCAGTGTCCATTCAACTTTCCTTTTTGCTAGATTATCAGTTAGGCTGCAGTCTTATGCCTGCTTTCACTGGGAGTGATCTACTTGCATTTAACTGAGTAGGATTTACTTCTGGCTAGGCATGTATACACTTAGATTGTTAGTTCACAGAGCACCAGTTCAGGGCTGAGCATTACCAATCCTGTGTCTGGTTGCTAAGTGACTTGCTGTCTTAGGAGTGTGCAGGATTGCAGCTAAACATCTGAATAAACACACTTTTAGTTGATGCCTAAGGTGCTTTCTTGACTGTTTGGCCAACGTCCACCACCAGCCTCCCTCTGAGAACAATCTAGGCCTCCCTATGTCTCTAATCAAATGCAATTTTTCTCTTCTGAGTCATGATGAAAATAATTTCTATTCCTCTTTTTTGGAGGGAGGGGTGTTCTTAAAACCCGTCTTGTTGAATCAATGCATGTATATAGTTTGTTTTGGGATTTTTTATTTTTATTTTGAGGCCATCAGCACTGAATACCCTTTTCTGAAGGACAGCTCTGATTAAAATCAATCTTCTACTCTTAACATTTCAATATATGCAATTAATGAATTAATGTTTTAATTGCACTGATGAATGTTCTTGGCCATGTTTATAAAATATTCTTTCTCCTGGTTGACGTTTATTCCAATATTATATCATGCTCATGTGTTGTTGTTTTTTTAAAAAAAGTTTAAAACAATCATGTGACTTAGAGAACTGCAGATGGCTAAAGTCAACCTTCATAGTGTAACCCTTTGTGTGCCAGCGTGTCTATCACCACTCTATTAAGCTCATTTATGTGACAGTAAATCACGTTGCATTCAGTGGGTTGCGCGTTCCAGCAATGAGTTTTAGGAAGCAAGGTTTGAAGCTGAAATTATAAGACAAATAGATATACCGAATATAGGAGTGTGAAATCTACAGTCTCTCCTTTCTATGCCAAAATCGAGTCCTTTATTTAAATCAAAGCAAAACCAACATCTACTCTTCTTGAATAGTCTTTCCATAAAAATGAAAAAATGTCATCGGTTTTAGCGACTCTCAGAAAAGAAGGGGGGGGCAAACGCGGAGAGGCATTCAATGATGAGTTTGTATATATTTATTTATGCTTAATTTAACGGGATTGTGTAAATATGGCGAGCAAGTAGTTTTGGGGTTATTTATCTGTGACTATACCTCTGTGAATGGGTGGGGAATTTAAACCAAGAAGAAGAAAAACGATCAAAAAGACAAAAAAAATTACAAACGCTTGACTCTAGATAGTACCCAATCTGATCTTTTTTTCTGTTCTTTATAGACAAGCTGTTATGGTAATGGGTAGAAATTGGTTTCTTGTCCAGTGATGACCTGATTTACATAAATAATAATACGAATTTAAAAAAAAAAAGATTGTTGTGTTTTGTTGTATTTTCCTCTTCAGATATTTTTTTCCCTTTTTTAAAAACTATGTTGGTGCTGCTTCATTTCTGAAGATGGATTTACTTCCGCAGCCAAGACAAAATCTTTTCTTTCCCAATCTGGACTTTGGGAAATTCAGGACCCGGTTCTACAGTGGAAAGAAATAAACGTTGCTTCTCAGAAGTGCTGCCCCGTTGACTGTGTCTGATTCCTCTCCCAATTCGCCTGCGACCCTAGGCCGCTGCCCCCCGGCTGCCCTCCTCCCGCCTCGCCCCACACCTCGGCTTTCCTGTCGCCTCCGCAGCGCAGACTTGCCTGGAAGGCGGCTCTTCGCGAGCGCGTTGCCTTCCAGGGGTCCCGGGGAACTCCGGTCCTCGCTCGCTCCAGGCTCGGGGCGCGGCGGACGCCAGCTGCGCTTTGGACGCGCGCTGGGCAGAAGCCGGCGGCGCCCGCGAACTCCTTTGGCAAAGGAGCAGACCGGCTCGCTCCCGCCCAAAGAGCTGCTTCCAGTCTAATGGACACATGGCCGGCCTCTTCATCCTCACCAACCAACGAAAGCACCGCAGATTAGGAAGGCAAGCCTCCAAACACACACAGCCGGCCCACCCCGAGGCAAGGTGAGGCAACTGCCTTAGGCGGCAGCAGTTTGAGCCTCCAATCAATGCTTGGCCTGCTACCACTGCCCTTAGGGCAGCAACAGCTGAGGCCGTTTCTTGGAGGCCGGATTCCTTCGCAGCCCCTCATCCCCCTGCTGTCTCTACAGCGCCTCTTGGCGAAGAGCAGCCACTGCCGGTCTCCTCCCACCCTGGTTCCAGATGTGGATCTTCACTCCTTCTTCCCTGCTAGGGGAGAAGCGCACCATTTTGCGGTTTGCCACACGGCCACGCCCCCTCTCTCTCCCCCTCTACCCCCTCCCTCCCTCCCCCTCCCCACACAGAAGAAAGCCTACTCCGAAGCAAGTACCATTGAGTTAAATGGAATTTACCCCAAGTCAGAGTTTCTGCATTGCCGCATTAGTTTCCCAAAGGCTCCATTCTTCATCATGCCTAAAAGAACAAACTGTAAACACAAACACACAAAGATACCTATAACCATACAAACAGCACCCCCCACTCCCAGTCCAGTGTGAAAGGATTTGTCAATCCAAACAGAAATATCCTCGGACCTCCACTCGAGACCCTAAAAATTATGAAATAGAGGTCCAATAGTCTTATATTGTTTCAAAGTACGCTACTCAGTTCCGTTTGTTGGCCTGATGGCACAATCGACCGAGCAGCTGATCCCTCTTTTTTCCGGTTGAAGTAGCTTGAAGATACCGCATTCTGGAAAACGTTCACACGGTCGGTCTGGATTCAGCGAAGTCTGCTCACCCCTCCTTCGGTCCCGTTCAGTTTTAGAGCCAGTCAAGTTAAGGGAAGGTTAGAGAATTGATTGAAAGCGTTACCATTTTTCAGTCCACGAAGAAACTCTCTCCCTTCCTCCCCTTAATACTCTCCATTATTCTGTAGGATGACTTTATTGCTCAATATTCAAAATATCACGCAGAGAGAGGGGGGTCTGGGGGATTCTCTCCAGTTTTATGAGCCTGAATCCGAGCAACGGTTTTTTGTTGTTGTTTTGTCCCCGCCAAACATCCCCGCGGCTGGTGTCACGATGTGACCTACTTTGAAGCCTCTGGAAAGGACCACGTTTGCATTTTACAGCTGCAATAAAAAAAGACATATATTGGGAAGAATCCTGTATAGTAGACAGTGGAAGGGAGCGATTGCTAGGCGAAGGTAAATCCATGTGCATCCCGATTCTAAACACATTAGCCAGGAAATGCGATCGATTTCCAAGTCAATGCTTAGAATCAGAGAGAGGGAAAGGCGTCTAGTCTAACCCGATGCAGGAAATCCGCTCTGAAAGGTGTTGACCACCCAACCCCCGAAGCAGAGTTCTTCAGCGTCCGAGGCAGTTTGGCCCACAAGCAGAAATACCCGCCTAGGAAAGGCTAACGCAGGTTCCTGAATCTTTCTGATTTCTGTTACACTGTAAATGCGTTTCCTCTTTGCTAGTCTCCGCAGAGCATCCTTCCAAATACGGTTGGTTTCCTAGGCTGGGGCCTGGAAAGGCTGAGATGGATCCTAACCCTGCCCTGCCGGCCTCTACTATCGGCGCGAGACTTGCTGCCAAGGGGTTCAGGCGCCCCAATTTAGGTGCAAGGGATGCGCTTGCCGTTTTAGGCTGAGCTGTAAGGGCTGGGTACACACGACCTTCAGAATACATTCCAAGCACACTGGGCACTGTAGTTTAGCCTGCACAGAGTTCCAATTCGCAGCAACCCTTAACAGGCTACAGTGCGCAGAATTCCCTGATGGGCTCCGAATGCGCTTTAAAGGCACCGTGTGTCCGCAGCAAGGAAAACAGCCGATAGCGTCGCCCGCGAAAGGACTCAGGCGTCCTTTCCCACCCCTGTTTCCCGCCTTGCAGCAGGAATGGTTCTTTCTGCTGGGGGAGCTTTCTGAATGGAACGCCCCCAAAGCCCCCAAAGCACGCCGCGCTCCGATTGGCTGGCAAGCACGAAGGGAAGTTTGGTTTGTGAGCGAGGGAAGGGGTAAAAAGCGAAAGCAATGGATGAGCTGTCCAGTCCTCTGTCGTCCCTCCGCTCTGAAAGAAAAAGGGCGCAGCCGATTCAGAGAGTAGACCCATAGAAACCCATAGGCTTAAGTTGGTCGCGATAAAGCGACTCTCCTTAGATTGCATCGCAATAACAATTTAATAGCGTCGGCACGGAGAGGGGAATAGTCTTCCTCGGGGTTTTGTTCCCCACACTGCCCCACGGTTACACTAAAGTTGGTGGGAACCTGAGCCCGGCACCACCATCAGAAGCAGCTCATAAATGCGCATATCTGCGCATCAGTAAACGCCTCTCATTTTAGAGTGACTAGCCCAGCCGCCTAGACTGGTGGGCGGGTAATAAGTCTGAAATAATAATTGAATCAATAAAAAACTAATTTTGAGGGATCTGGGCCACCAGTCTTTGACAGTTAGGAGCTGGGTTTTCAGCTGTTTCTTTCTTTCTTCTTTTCTTTTTTAAAAAAAGTTATTGAAAAAGTATGAAGGTATTTTCTTATTTTAACCTGGCAGTACGTTCCACTGAAATAAAACAAAAGGCCCCGATCTAGCCATTATTTGTGACCCGAGTCCTATCGGAAGCAATGGAGAGCAGCAAGTTCCTGGCAAACGACTTTGTCGCATTGTTTTCTATGGGACGGTCACAACTAACTTAAGTGGACTGGAGCTACGTGTTTAGGATCCGGATGTAGGATCAACATTGGAATGAGACGTAGAGGTGAGCCGCCCTTCTCTAATAGGAAATCCAATCTCCCTTTTCATCCTTACGGCTCTGTCCCTTTAGTTTTATGTTATGTTGATAGAACCCTACCAATAACTTACCTTTGTCCGGAATTGTTTTCGGGACGGTACTCAATTTCTATTTTCCACACTGTCCCCATAAAAGATCATTTATTTTCTCTGTTCTGAATTAGCAACTGGCAGCGCAGGCCTAACCACGTCTACTCAGAGGTAAGTCCTACTGAATTCAACGGGGCTTACTCCCAGGGTAAACGGGCTTAAGACTGCCGCCTTTCCTATAGCGAGCCTTCATCTTGATTCCTGCGGTATAAACAACGTATTGTGTCGCCGGTTTGAAATACATCTGGCGTTCTGCTTCTCTCTGAATTTCTGACTCTGTCTATTTGCATACTCTTTGACTGAGTGGCCCATCCTCGGGACCTGGGAAGCCAGCCCAGTAGCAGGGAAATCGACAGCAATGTTGAGGCATTTGGGACGCGGATGAGAGATCCCAAGCCTGACTTCATAGTCATTTTATTAAAGAATTCTCCGAAGAGCCATCGTCTCATTATTGATTAAGCTGCTTTTAAAACCGATTAATAGGTTCAACTGAAATGCACCTGCCTATTAGGAAAATCAAAATTTATGTTTTCTTCATTCTCCCCCAAAGGTATGAAAGTAACACCTTTTTGAGAGAATGAAGAAAATGTACTCCTAGGAGTAAAAGGGGTCAGGATAGTGTTTATCCTCACTCATTAAAATTGCCCTCCACGGATTAATCAGCCAAAATGTATCCATAATTTGGAACATATAAGTCTCCCTTCCTCCCCAAAAGGAGCCCATGGCGGTTCACAATAGACACATTAAAACAATTTAAAACGACACTATGACGTAATGATTACAGACAGCAGTGAAAACCAGCAGTGTAAAAACAACACTAGTTGCCTGTTACCCTCCCAAATGAAAGGACTCAAGCTTGCACCTGTAAAACAACAACAACACCCTTTCAGGTGTAAATCAGCCGTGAGCCTCACACTCGAATGTCCTCGTGGCCACTAAGTCACTTCTAAAAGGTAGATTGGCCCCATTAATGCAACTACCCCACAGCCCCGGAACTCATTGGCTTCATTCAGGCAGCGATAAGTGCAAGAAGGGGCTGGTGGATCTCGGGGCGCCATCCCAGCCCACGATAGACTGTGGGCGGACACCTCTGCTCCGTCTCCGGGCTCTGTGGTAGACACAGTATGCTTCAAAGCACACTTCGTAGCACACTCTTTCCCTAGAATTCTGGTCGCTGTAGTCTACCCGCCACAGAGTTACCCTTCCCAGAAGCCCTCAACAAACTGCAGTGCCCAGAATTCTTTGGGGGAGAGAAAGCGCGTCGAATGTGCCTTATAAAGGCATAGTGTGTACGCAGCCTTCATTACTGGATCTGGGTGACTATTTAAAACTAGCTGAAAACAAAGAGACCTTCAGGATCCCATGCGAGGTGCCTGGGAAGCTAGAACCATCACTTCCACTTCCGTGTGGAACAAAGCCAAACAATGAGAACAGAAATCAGCCATAAACAAGCTTGCTAGTAGCTGGCCCCTTTGGAGCAGGGCTGGGGAGGCTGTAGCTCCCCAGATGGGGTCCCACTGGCCGTGTTGGTTGGGGCTGATAGTTGGTTGGGGCCGTAGTTCTGTCCTCCTGCAACGACCGATGCATGTTTCCTGCATTGCAGAGGGTTGGACTAGATGACCCTCAGGGTATCTTCTAACTTTATGATTCTATGATCTTGCTGCCCGCTCCAGGTTAAGCTCCTGGTCTGCAGGGACAGCCTGGAAAGTGTCGCACTTCCGGGTAATGCTTCCTGCATGCCAGTTCAGCAACTCTCATAATTGCGAGCGAGAGATATTAATCTGTCTGGAAATTCTATTTGATTTCCACGGAGAGAGAGAGAGAGAGAGAAAGACGTAACACCCTTTAGAGATCTAGCATCCCAGGTAAAATCTGTTTTTTTGGGGGACTCGCAGACGATTATTTTAACGAATGCAAGCGAACGTCGGGAACTGCGGAGTAATTACTGTTGAGGTTTCTAATTGCAGCGGATAATACACTCTTTAAATGCTTCAGGCACTAATAAAACGGCCTGCAAGACAATTAAGCCGGTCCTTGGATTTTTTAAACCTAAAT